TATTATCAAGTCTCAGGAGACTGAATAAACATTAGAATCGTGTCAAACTTGCCGACAGGGTCAATTAAAGTCCAAATGTGAATTATTGTTGTTTGCAGGCAAGCTAACGAGTTCCCATAGCGTGACGGTAAGTCCTCTACATATGTGGGGCTCTTAGAGGCGTATGGCAGCAGTGAATAATGATGTAGTGTAGGGATGGGTCCTGATGAAAACGAATCTGGTCTGCTTTTGTGTCTCAGTTACACAACAGCCTGTTGGGATGACCACTTTTGTTTCAATTGTTTAAGTTGGTGGACTAAACGAGAAAATGACCACACGTCCAGTTACTTAAACTTTACCGCATCGAAGAAGCAAACAAAAGCTCCACCTCCTCCTTTGCTTCGCCGCATCTGATGGCACAATCTGTGCCAATTAACTCGACCTCAACCTTAAACATGTCATTGGCAGCAGTTGTTGAGCAAAGCGGAGCGGATTCTGACTGGAAACCATTTAGTCGTGCTCCGGACTTGAAACTGACCGCATTAAGTATTGTCTCACCTAATAAGCCGCCAACAAACTCATCATTGCCTCACGCGATTGATACATAAACGAACGCATACACTCTTCATCCATAATGGAGGTTGTTTGGGTTAGACCGCGTACATATAAACGTCTCGTTAAACATGCCACCACCCGACACAGCCAATTCTTAAGGTTTGTCATGTAAACAAAATGTGCTGATTTGTCAACATACACACTTGCTCACCACCTGCATCACTTCTGGCCCACACATGATGCCCTTCTCCATCACAAACATGTAACGATTTGGTGCAATCACCTAGCCGACTGCTTGCTCATTAATTCGACATGAGGATATCTCTCTTGGCTTGTCGTGATCAGCCCCTCGCCATTCTTTATCTTGCTCCCCATTCGATACTCTCCTCCTCCCTTGCAACACCCCAAGATGTTGCGCGTAGTCACTTTAAGATGTTTCTTGTTCATGTTTTTGTTTGTTGCGGTTGCACCCGATTCAAGAGCCGAATGGCTTACAGGGCTATACCAAATAAATGAAACTGAATGTTCTCAACCTAATCGAAAACTCCGCAACAAAAACCTCTTTTGTTGTTCACCTACCAGCCATGGCCTTCAAGGATTGAGTTCAAGAATTAACAATAATGGGGTCCCATGCTGCTAATGTCTCTTCCTATTTTGGTCTTTTCCCTCCGCCACTCACATTAATACAAGTGACACCTCGAGTCAAGAAACCTGGCTCTGACTCTCAAATACCCAGAACATTACTGACCTGTTATGTTATCTTTATGTATTTATAGAGCCCCTAAGCTCAAGGTGTATTGCACAGCTAAGACGCGGTACAAACATTGAGTGATATAGATGTCAAGGGTGTGAAAGAGCCGATGAATGAGTGACCATAAGAGAGGGCATATACAACTAAAAACGATCAATTATTTAGATTTCTTTTACCAGGTAAGGCCCCACTGAGCTACAGTATGTAGCTCTTTTGGCCACAAGTGATAGCTCAACGAAGTGGCTTATCACGTGGAAATCTATAGCAGCCAAGCACTCTAAACACACGTTGATTCGGAGGACCCGGAGAAAAATCCACGCGAACACGGGGAGAATGTGAAACCTCTACATAATATACCGGCATCGTGAGCGTGATCGAAACCTCCTTTCAACCGGCGAGTTGGCTAACATCTCTCCACCGTGGCGAGATGTTCATATGGGGCGACGAAAGGGCGGGTGCGGGGAATGGGGATGGGACGGAGTGGAGGGGCGAGGGAAAGGTAGACATGGGCAATGGGGAAGAGGCAGGGCCGCATTCAGGCCTGGGAGCTTTAGGGGCTGCAGCCCAGCGACTTCCGCCAGCTGGAGGGCCTCCAGAGATGAAGTGAAGAGTGATTTGACTCGTGAATGCTGAATTTTATTTGTTGTTAGCCTTGTAAAAAATACAATTTTATTTTTCTTTAGCTTTGTTTTCCTTTTGAAAATATTACTGGGGCCTCACAGTAGCTGTAGCCCAGGGGCCTTCAAAATCTGAATCCGGCCCTGGGAAGAGAGGGGAACAAAAGGAGGTTGACACCAGCGATGGTTGACACCAACGTACCAAACGTATCAACATCTCCAAGCTCCACGAATGCCCCGCCCTTGCCAGAATCACGAATCGCATCACATAACACCCCCAGTCTGTCTACCGCCCAGCTCGACTCTACCGAGGCTGCGCTCGTCAAGATCGTTGATGACACCCTCGCCACCTATCGCCTCTGCTTCTTCCACAGTTGCTCGACAACATCTGCCGCCTGTTGACACGGCCAGGCCACAATATTTTTTTTTAATCGAATTTCCTAGAATCCGACCGATTTCTCTATCGTTGCCTCAGCTCTGCAATGGCTCAATTTGCATCACTCTGACAAAATGTCCTCCGTCAAGGTTGGCAGGCCCTCAACAACTCAGTCGTCATATCCACTGCAGGTGTCCCCCTCAGGGAATCAGTCCTGGGCCCTTTAACTTTTTGTCGTCCACATATCCCCACTTGGTCGCCTCATTGAGAGTCACAGCGTTAACTATCACACCCACGTACGGCAATGGCGCTCGATTAAACGCAACTCCAACCTCCAATCATGCCCCGGTCAATGTTAACCGATTGTACCTCAGCCTTACAGCACAAGGTTTTGGTTAAATCACCTCTTATTTAAAAAAAAAATATTCCGTAGCCCTTTTCCGAGCCACTAGGCATCGACTCAGCCGCGGCGTTTCACCCTCAGAATATTCCCATCGCTGGCTCCACGGCCAGTCTTTCAAATCTTTTGAAAATCTTTGGTATGATCTTCGGACTCACATTCTCACTGGACAACAACATCCCGCACCTTCGATTTTTCCTTCGCCCACCTCCCCGCACCTCCGATTAGCACAGTTAATGACGTGCGGTGCCAAAGACGTGTCGACACGCGTACAATTAAGTCACGCATTCCCCAATTCTCAGGGCCTCATGGCACATCCACCCAATATCCAGAACAAATGCTCTGACTTGTAGCATTGTAGACACTCGTCTTGATTATTGCATCATCATCTTCATCATCATCATCCTTACTTGGGCATCAAAAAAACACCTAACTACAGTGGCTCCAAAGTTTAGCGGCTCCAAAACAGGCTGCCTCGTGCTGCCATCGGCATTAGGCAGGGCCAGACGGCTTCCATGGCTGAGCTACAAACTTAGTATTGGCTCCCCATCAAATCACGGATAGGGATACAAAATTGCTATCCGGTACCACAGAGCTTTCCTTCCATGTCTCCTGCCAGACATCTCCACCCTTCTCACTCAACCGACCACGGCAAAGCGCCGCGTCGTACGCAGCACGTCTAAAACAGGCCGCTCATCGTGCCCAGATCCAGCGCCGTCCTGGTGGAGCGGCGCTTCTCCGTAGCTACACCGATCATCTGCCGCTCTCTCCCGCTGCACACACGCACAGTAGCAGCATTCAAGCACCAACCAACGTCAAGCAGCAGCTCAAGGCTCTCACCTGGTTCAGGCTATCACCTGGTTCAGGATCTCACCTGGTTCAGGCCTTCACCTGGTTCAGTATCTCACCTGGTTCAGGCCTTCACCTGGTTCAGTATCTCACCTGGTTCAGGATCTCACCTGGTTGAGGATCTCACCTAGTTCAGGCCCTGACCTGGTTCAGGCTATCACCTGGTTCAGTATCTCACCTGGTTCAGGCCTTCACCTGGTTCAGGCTCTCACCTGGTTCAGGCTCTCTCCTGTCCAGGATCTCACCTAGTTCAGGCTCTCTCCTGCCCAAGATCTCACCTTGTGCAGGCTCTCATCTGATTGAGGCTCTCACCTAGTTCAGATTCTCACCTGTTCAGACTCTTACCTGGTTCAGGCTCTCACCTGGTTCAGGTCTATCACCTGTTCAAGCTCTCATCTGGTCCAGGCTCTCACCTGGTTCAGGCGTTCAACTGGTTCAGCCTCTCACCTCTTCAACCTGGCATTTGAGGGACTTTGAACTCTGCCTCTGCGCCTCCAAGTTCTCAATCGAACAAATGCATTTGATTCATGAATTATGCGCGCGCCATAAATTGCTTATTCTTACATTATTATTTTGCGTTTGGTGGTATGGACAAGGTCCAGGGCATGTGTACATGCAGTGCACATCTTTGTGTGTGTAGTAGTAATTAAGATGTAGTCAAAAGAGATCAAGGAAAATATAGCCACACACACACCAACAAAACGATTGACGCATGTGTTCTTGGTTCTTTCGGTAAAGTCACGTAGATAGAAAATAAAAATAAAAGCAAAAAACCACGACGTTTCGATCGCAACGCAAGTGGTCTTATTTTTATTTTCTATCTACGTGACTTTACCGAAATAACTATTAATTCCTGTAGTCACGAAAGTTGTAAGTCAAGATTGACGCATGTGTTGCACTATTTTGATGGTAGGTGTGAACGGCGACAACGTTGGCTACAGGTCAAGCACAAACGTGTGTCAGCACGTTATTATTACTCTATCACAATAGCAATGGGTAGTTACAATGAAATATGAATGGGTGAAAAGCTATGACATTTTCAATCACAGCCTCAATGATCACACCAAGAATGAATTTTAGTCGCATAGGCTGAATGACATTTGATATTTATAATTAAATACTAACCAACAATGATCATCGTGGTAAAGTATGGTCAAGCATATTCTTTGGGTCTTTCGGTAAAGTCACGAAGATAGGTTCAAAAAAGATATCACAAAAAACCACGACGTTTCGATCGCAACACATCATAGTTTTTTGTTATATTTTGACGTAACTTTACCGGACGGCCCAAAGAATATTACAGTATTGCTCTTGTTCTTATAGTGTCAGGACTCGCAATTTGAGTCAATGATTTTTACAGTCTTCATTTTTTCTTATTTTATGATGCGAGACGTTAAGCAATGTTTTATTTGATCCAGACGGCAATCATGACTGATATAATGTCTCCATGTGTCTGTGCGCTTGTGTGTGCAGGCGTTATTTATTCATTTACTATAGCTTGAAGCTTGAAGAATTAGCAAGATGTCTGGTGTCCTCGACTCGTACTGTGGCTCAGAGTTTTGGGTAAGTACTGATGATATTACTAAGCTTATTCTTGCGTTTGGCAATATGTTCAGGAGCTAAATAGCAAATTTTGAGGTCTGCTAGCCACGAGAGGGCTTTCGTAGGAAGTTCGTGTTGTTTTGCCGTTCCTCCGTTGAAGGAGCGTAGACTGCAGTGATTTACTATATAGTCCATATTATTAGCATTCAGTAAGGGTGCTAACAAAGTAATGTTTTAGATAAATACTGTACATTGCATTACAAGGGTACTTAGCACCCATAGAAGACATTTATTTCATTATAATCTCCTGGAAAAAAAACTTTCTGATTGTGGAATATTTATTTAAAGAAAAACGCTTGTTCACAGGTTGTACAACAAAATCACGTCTACCAAAATTAATAAAAAACTTTTGCAACCAGAAAGAATATTTGTGCAAAGACAAAATTGCCCTCAATATATAGACAGCAGAAGCCTGCATGTGGAAATTTGTCACATGGTGGGGCCAATGCCCTTCTTTGTGGATAAAATTTGATTTTAAATAATTGGGCGTAATTGAATTTTCTTCCAATTTACAACAGACGCTTTGGTTGTCATCATGAAGTTGTTCGTATTGCCTGGACCACCGGCAAATACTCAATATTTCCACCTTGATCAGCATTTCTATGTGTAGTAATCCACATTGGTTTTTGGGAGTCCGCAACGTCTGCTCTCAAAATGCAGCTCAACAGCTGACAGCCGTAGCCGATTGTGTTTTGCCATGCTAATAGACAGGTTACTTATCTAAAAAAGCTATCATGACACACCATTTCTTTGGATAAAGTCTCATTTGAACAACGTCTGCCAGTGGCAAATAGACAATCCTGTATAATTACTCATTCACCATGATGTGCGACCGCTGTTACTTCCAATAGCAATTTTCTCCACAAAGGATGTGTAATCATAATCACTCCCGTCTTTTAACAAGAATAACAACACCACCAACAATATTATACGATGGCCTTTATGTTGACAAGTTACGAGAAACAAGACTGCACAAGCTGCAGTTTAATGATTACCAACACTAAGTGTCAGGGTCCAAATTTACCCACAAATTACCCAATCAGGATCGCCTGCATAGCAATTATCACTCTCTTCTGAAGCAGACGAATGCCCCAGGGTCACTCTTGCAAATCAAACTAAACTGGTCTCTTGAGTTTTCACATGGTTGAACAATTATGAACTTAAGGTACAGGCAATATAGACAATAAAAAGATGAAGAGCCTCATTCATAAGTTGGTAGAAATCCCAGATTTTTTGCTACAAAATTGACAAATTATCTGATAAGTATTGGCGGAAATCCGGCCTTTTATCAACACACACATCATATCCTGAGTGTGGAATTAACAATACCAATTTGCACGGGTTCTCCGTTGTTATTGCCCTTGTGGGTAATGAATTACAGAACAGGTGGCGATAGACGCTGGCATTGAAGAAACGAGCGCCCCACAATGGGTAATGTGCGGTGGCGGTTTGGAGACAGGATTTTTGGATTACGCATGGGCGTAAGCCACGTTTACTTTGTGAAACACAAGCTGCCCACGTGAGACAGTAGAGCCCGCAGGAGACAGCAGCTGTAAGGCCAAGTGGGTGGTCGACAAACCTGTGGCATGCGTCCTCTTTGAGGGGCTGCTATCTCGTGACGTTAGTTATTAAGGACCGACCGCCGCCTCGTATTCAGCGGGTATTGTGCGGCTCTTGAAATATTGGCACATCGAGGAGTGCCGTTCTTTTTCGAATTAGGCCAACAACAAAAACCTCAATATTTCAAGAGCCTCCACACACGGTGAATGCGAGACGGCGGTGAGTCCACAATGAACAACGCTCACGAAGCAATTCCTTAAAGAGCCACGTGCCACTAGGGAGCCTGCAGATTGCCGACCCCTGCCCTCGATGTACTGGACACTTGCTAAACAATGACGCACCTTTGTGTACACACTGTCAGCGTATTCAATGCAATGCTGTTATCATGCTGATAAACATTGCAGCAAATTACAAAGAAATTTTAACGGGAGGTTGGATTTTAACCCACAGACCTCGGTGACTGCCCGCTCGCTTTGTGGCGAGGTTTGAGTATTGCATTATGTGCTGATTGTGAGCCTTGGGGTGTCTTATCACAGCACATGATTCTTGTTATATTTAAAATATTAACTTACATTTCATAGTGGAGACGTGTACATGACATAGAATGTGATACTGTATTGTAACGTGTCTGTGTATGTATATTAAAGCTTTGGCAGAGCGAATAACGCTGAAACTAACATTGCTCCCAGTCACATGGAGCCGTTGATGAAGTAAAATATATTTTTCATGTACAATAATAACACGTCAAGTGTGAATACTTTTAGCAGTTTTACATGGAATATTGTCATGCTGATAAACACTGCAAAAAATGGCGAAGTAAAACAAATAATAGTTTATATTCTTAGCTCTTTCGGTAAAGTCACGTTGAAGGGAAACAATAAAATAATAAAATATATTTTATTATATTTGAGGGGGGTCTGATTATTATTATTTTATTGTTTCCCTTCAACGTGACTTGACCGAAAGGGCTAAGAATATGAATTACTGCAGTCACGAAAGCTTTAAATAAAAATAATAGTTTATTATGTGAAAACACATAAGGGGCCGTCCATAAATGACGTCACGCACCTGGGGTGGGGTCAGACATTTGTGACGATGTGTGACGAGGGGGGGGAGGGTTGAGAAATGTGACGTCACATCAAAATGCGCAATTTTAAATAAATATAGACAACACGTTCTACTTAATTAAATAAACTTCTTAATAAATGTTTTCTCCTACAACATCAGAGTGCAGCGCCACATTAAATACGCACTAAAATGACAATAGTTCAAAGCGATTTGAAGCATGTTTTATTTTCAAAATGGAAATATGGTTTTGGTGGGGGGGGGCGCAGAGCTTTGTGACGTCATATTTGAGGGGGGGGGTCTGACTCTTTGTGACGCCGTGTGACGAGGGGGGGGGGGGGTCAAAAATCGTCCAAAATTGCGTGACGTCATTTATGGACGGCCCCTTATAACGGAGGTTGGATTTGAAACCGTGACCTCTTGACTGCTGCCCGCTTGTGGCGAGGGTGAGTATCGCAATCTGTGTGTATCGCGACCCCTGGGGCGTCTTGCCACAGTGCAGGATTGCCGTGAAATATAGATAAGTGCTTGCTACCTGTCGGCAACCTTTCAAAGAAGAAGAGCCATTTTGTTGTTGTCTTTGACCAGAATAGTTCGAGAGCCTCCGTCACACGCAGAGATACCTCGACACGACAAACACATCTGACTTAATTAACCACAATAGGTCAAGGAATAAGCTGGGTGTATTTAGTTGCTATTTCTCCCCCCCCTGACTTATTCTTCCCCCATCCCCCCCCCGAGTTATTCTACAGTCTGAGTGTACATTTTGTCGTCACCAAGACAGTCACAATTGCGTCCAGGAATGCAATTGTGACGTCGTAAAAGCGGGGACTTCCTGTTCCACACCGCAGGGCCGGTGGGGGGGGGGGTCCTTAATGAACAACATCACAAATCAGTTCCTTAGAGAGCCGCGTGCTGCTCCCGAGCGGCAGGGTGCCGACGCCTGCTCTAACACCTTCACCCAACTGCATTGACCAGCATGGTGAAGTATGGTCGAATCGCCCCCGAGACCCGCGCGTCATGGATTTACAAAATGGGCCTTCAAGTGTTCACATTTCAGAATGTATTTATTTCGGCAGTAAGGGCCTGCTGAGCGGTTAGGCTCTATGTCGTTGGTGCTTAAGCCTTCTGTACTTCTGTACCCCCCTTTCTTGGATTGTGTTTCCGACGAGTACCCCCTTGCCTGACCCAAAACGGTTGTGATAAATGTGTAGTGTCCTCCTCAGTGTGTGTGTAGCGCACACACTCAGTCGGAGACAAGGTAGTTGCAGGAGGCACCTTCTCTCTCTCTATCTCTCTCTTTATTTCCGTTACACCAACTCCGGCCTCCTCTCTCACGACCACGTTGCCGTACAGCCCGGCCTAGACACGACCCTGACCACGTTGCACCGACGGCGTCGACACAGACAGCCAACAACTGAAGCAATTGGCGGGACCCCGGGGTCCCATCACTGCCCCGGGGTGGGAAAACCCGCGGTAGCGACACGAGTCTTGCTGCCTTACCGACAACAACACAACTAGTGGTCAATCGATTGGCCTCGTCGAGAGCTACTCGGGGCACTAAGTTTCGTAAAAAGTTGAAAAATTACACAAACACGTTAAATTCACTGCCTGGGGGGCGGGCTCGCCTTGGCAAAGAAGCTGAGGATCGACGGCTGACCGGAGGGCGGCATCACCCCCCGGGGCTCGCGTTTGGCCGGTGGGGTGGCGCCCATCGTGTCGATCGCCGCCTCCTGCTGGCGCTTGTTGGCGCGAGTCTGGGCGGGCGGCGCGTTACTGTCGGGATCACGTAGTGGGCGGACTGAGAAATAATAATTATTATTGACCTGATTTTTGCGGGACCACGGGGTCCCGCCAAATAATTCAATTGTCCATTTTGTAAGGTGTGTCCTAACTAGCTGGTAACTGCAAGCGAATACAAAAAAAAATCAAAGGACGCTCTGTTTGCGTGATGTAAATTGTTTGAGCTCGCTGGTTACTCTTGGAAACCGCATTTTTTAAGATCAATGAGTTTAGAAATGTCTTTTATATCGCTCTAGGATGCCATATTGTATCGTAGTTATTTTATCTTGGCAGATTTATACGGCATTATTATTCACCAATGATTCTCACGTGTGATATAACATCACACATTTATAAATCACCTCGCGTACCCCTGGGACATTGCCAGGTACTCCCCAGAGGTCTGCGTACCCACCCTCCCCCGGTTGAGAACCACCACTCTATATTATCGGCGTTCTGCGTCAGTACCAGATGTTACAAAGCGCACCACCTTTAGTCACGATCATGGCCTGCCCCTGTATTTTGCATGATTAAGTTTGTATTTCATTTCACCAATGCTTTTTGCAGAACGACTCTTACCTGGAGCGTCCGCAGCCAGACCTGCCGGTGTGCTTCGAGCAGACGGTGCTCGTCTGGGTGCCGCTGGGGTTCCTCTGGCTGTGCGCCCCTTTCCTGCTGAGCCACCTCTTCCGGCACCCGTCCAAACGGTTGCCCGTGTCGGGCAAGTACGCCGCCAAGCAGGTGGGCCAAGCGGCCGTTCGCTCGATCGTTCGGCCCGTGTTTTCACAACGCGAATTGGACATCACGCGACGATGAACGTATTTGGGAACGCATTTTTCGTTATGACGAGCATGCGAATTGGATATAGCGCGAGCGGGTGAACGGAGCTACGTGGCGCGAGTAGGAATAAGCGGTCGTGCGGCTGCCTCGGCGTAGCATCGCACAAGGCGGGATGCTGCTGGATGCTCTAAGATGCTACGCACGCGCCTCAGTTTTTGTGTGGCCAGCATGGAAATATTATGTGTTATCGCAGACTGTGCTTTACCCGATATTATATTGTTTATTATAACGTGATTTTCCATAGCGCAATGTTTTTTCAGGAAAGCAACTACCGCGTTATAGGAGAACAAACTGGATTTAAATTTACGACTATCCGTTTCGGTGGTGCAAAGACACGTACTATACTAAACTAATCTTTTGTATCTAACCAAATAAGGCCCACTGAACTACGTAGCTCGTTTTCAGAAACGACCTGGGCATAAATGATAGCCCAACAAAGTGGCTTATCACGTGGAAATTTATGGCAGTCAAATCCTCTAAACGCACGTTTTTAAATATGGAGGGAAAACCCGCCTGGTATGAAGGAGGTCGTGGGTTCGACCCCCACCCTGACGCCTGTATATTTTGAGTCTGCGTGTCTCTCTCCCCGTGGTCGCGTGGATTTTTTTCCGGGTCCTCCGGTTTTCCCCTCCACATTTGGAATCATGTGCTCAGAGTATTTGGCCGCTGTACATTTCTCCATGCTAACAAGCTACTTCGTTGCGCTACCATTACGTGTATTCACGCCGATTCTGAATAAGAGCTAAATAGCTCAGTGTGCCTTACCTGGTAAAATTAAGTAAAAAAAAGAGTTTATAGTTTTAACCGCATCAGAACATCAACAGGCAGCTGCGTGCATCTCCTCCATGAATGGAAAATTAAAGACATGAGCCACAGTGCGATTGTGGCCATGCAACCAAACTACGGACAGTCTACACCGCGTGTAGACTGTCCGCGTGTAGACTGCGCTCCTTCAACGTAGGAAGAGCAATCCTCTGCAAACTCTCTTTTGAAGCCCTCTTGTGTCTAGCTGACCTCGACACTACCATTTTGGCTCCTGGACACGCTGCCACACACAATGGGAGAACAGAAACCTACATTTGCTGAGCCGGATTCATCAATCGGTCCGAGTTGTTTTTTTTTCTCTCTCTCTCGCAATCTCTGGAACCACGACGTCGTCGTTATACATCGCTCGATATTGCACCTCGCACAAGGCACCGTGCAATGGCAGCAGACAACGCACGCGTGCGCGTAGAATATATATGTGTGTCTATAATGCGAGAGCCTTCACAGCTCGTTCATGCAAGAGTCTACGGGCCCAGCTGCTCGCTTGCGCTCATCGACCGGCTGCCCCACGAATGCATGAAGGATCGCACCCGTGCGAAATAGGTCCCCCCCCCGTGATGTTTGTGTTGAGCAGCCTACAATTGTGTAACGGCGTATCGCTTACTTACGAGTGCCAAAGGCCACAAAACACGGGGTTGTGTTGTTTTGTGTCGAAAAGGATGGTGATGTCAGGGTTTGTTGTCCTTCCCCCGCACCTCCGATTAGCGCGGTTGGATATGTACGGTGTGAAAGAAGTTCAACATACATACATACATAGGCTCGCACAGAGACCCATAGTTTGTTGTCCTTCCCCCGCTCCTCTGATTAGCACGCTTCGCTACGAACGGTGCGAAAAAAGTTCAACGTACTTACACGCATATGTTGGCCAAAATGTTTACGAGACAATAACTTTTAATGTCTTTGCTGTTCACAGCGACGTTATTAGTTAATGCTTTCGTGTATTGTACTTCATGAGGGATGCGCTGTTCGGATTTATTGAGATCCGATCACATTGTGGTTTGAACCCAATTCGGAATTGGTGTGATTCGGCGCAGCTATTTCACAGGTCTGAGTGCTCAATCCGGATTGGCAATTGGTTCATCTTCTTTGGTTCTTTCGGTAAAGTCACGTAGAATGAGATTAAAATAATAAATTAATAAAATAAAATAACACAATAATATTCTCACGACGTTTCGGCCACAACACAAGTGGCCTTCATCAGGTGAAGGGAAGAGACTGTCTGGTAGGACAGCGCTGGAGGCACTCCATCAATTTATTATTTTATTATTTTTTTCTCATTCTACGTGACTTTACCGAAAGAACCAAAGAAGATGAATCCTTGCAGTCACGAAAGCTTTAAATCGAAATTGGTTCATACTTAGTTTATTTTGGATTTGATCGTCATGTAGGTACTATGTGAATTGTTGAACTATAACCCTCGACCATCTGACAGAGCCGATTAAATCGAGTTGTCACGTGGCCAAATACGCAAATTCATTTGGTTGGTCAGTGCAACTGGAGGAATGCTGAGAGATATTGTCAAAAGTTTTGCTCGCTTTTGAACATTCTGCTGATTGTGTTGAAAAATCCAAATAAATTGCCATGTTTACCCCACTTGACAATATGATTTGATCAGCTCTATAGGATGCTGGAGGGTTTTAGTAAAAAAAAACTGACATTATACACAAATCGACGATTGAACCGAAAACAAATCGTAATAATATTGGTCATGAAAGCCTGCGTATTATATCAGATTGACCCATCGCGGAGAGCAAATGTATTCAGTAACTATTTTCGTGCTGACTCATTTCCAGTTATCTCCAACCCTGTGCCACGATGACCTCGACCTTGCTCATCATACCCCACATGGCATCGTTTTTTTAGCTCTTTCGGTAAAGTCACGTTGAAGGGAAACAATAAAATAATAAAATATATATAAAACAATAAAAATTATCACGACATTTCGACCATAACGCAAACGGTCATCACCTGATGATGACCGTTTGCATTATGGTCGAGAATTTTAATTGTTTTATATATTTTATTATTTAATTGTTTCCCTTCAACGTGACTTTACCGAAAGAGCTAAGAATATGAATTACTGCAGTCACGAAAGCGTTAAATCAAAATTTATGGCATCGTTTGTTCAGCAGTGGGGGGGGGGGGGGGGGGGGCACCTTCGTAATTTCGTGAATTAAATAAAATAAAACCAATCAGGCAATTATATTTAATAATTTAAACACAAGGTGACATAGTTACGGTAAAATAATTGTATCAAATACAAAAAAAAATACAAATGCCATCTGTTAGCGATATTTTTTTTAAATTAAGTTTTCACCGATTATTTCCAAAATGTCTAAACTTGTGGTGGCGGTGGTGGTGGTACAGCGGTTAGCGCGCTGCGCTATGAACCCGACGACCCGAGTTCGATTCCCTCTCACGGCCAATGCCAGTGACGATTATCTGAAGCGGTCACGGGCCTCCCGTAGGTCGACTCAGCCTCAAATGAGTACCTGTTGCGGCGTGTAAACATCGCCGTTGGGGAGACAAAGGCGGTTGGGCGTGGTGTTGGCCACCCACCCCCACGTGTGCCGTGCCGGCCTTCATAGGCGCTACTCGCTAACTGTACTTGCCCCAACAGTCTTGTTATGCTATACGGGGGATCTTTGTCTTTTGTGTGCGTGTAGTCGGTGATGTAGTGGTGAGCACACCGCATTGCAGACCCAGAAACCCGAGTTCGATTACCGCTCGCGACCGACGGCAGTGGCGAATATTTTAACCGGTCTTGGGCCTCCCCTGAAAACCTGGTGCTGCGTGTAAACATCAGCATTGTGGGGAGACAAAGGCAGCCGGGCGTGGGGAGGTGTCCACCCCGCTCCCTCGTGTGCGGTGCCGGTCCTTCACGGCTGCTTTTCAGGAGCGCCTGCCCCGAGGTTTCTCGTCGAGGCTGCGACGGGTGGTGGTGACCTTTGTGTCCTGTCTTTTGTGCGGGGCGCGAGCAGGCGTTCACAGCACTGCTGTTGGTCACGGCAGTGGCCAGGTTGGCTGTCACCATCGCTGAAGACTCCGGATCGACAGCCGCGTCCTCCAACCCCGTCGTCCTCTATGTCAACCCCTCGTTGTATATTGCCACATGGGTAAGGATGTTGTGATACGAAGCATTCGCCCCCTTCCCTAACCCGCCGTACTGAATCCAAAAGGCCCTGGGCTTGCGATACTAAATCACCTTTCGTCAGCAGTCTCAAACATGGGTCTCGATGTGAATATTTAAGATTTGCTATAATCACATCCCGCCAGGCTACTATTGGCAACCTCCATCGTGGGAATCGCCATGGGAGGTGGTGGCTATGCTGCACGTGGCTGTCAGTGATCCAGCCACCGTGGAGGCAGTATCGAGTGTTGGTGGATCGCACAAATGTTGTGAAACTCCCTTCCTGTGGGCGTCAAGGAGGTGCCCTACCATGGGTGGTTTGCCATGACAATGGGTTACGGCAAAATGTTGGACTCCGCCCATTCCATCTGTATGGGATAAAGTGTTTCCCCCTCGCACGCGTGGGTTTACCCCGGGTGCTCCGGTTTCCTCCCACATGTAAACATTAATTTATTTGCTGATAAGACCTTCATATATAGAGGACCGCAGAGCTTGAGAAATTGTTGGCTCTGGCTCGTTGCATTGAGAATGAGCAAATACTGTGTGCATTATGAGTTGCAATTATATATTTATATATAAACGGGAGGATCTGATTGTAAATGTATTTGAAACTGGGAACACTGTTCCTCTCAGCAACATGCCTTTCAATCTCACCCTTTTTTTTAAACGCTTTTAATTAACTCACTCTGTTGTTGTTGTATCCTCAAATCTTGTAACTCAATTTGTACCCACTTCCCAATGTGGTATCGACTGCAAACTTGGTATACTTATGTCATACTGATGACAATACTATATTCTAGCATAAAAAATAAAAAAAAACATATTTGAAAACATTATTTTTTATATGTTATGTTTCGGCTTGGCTCTAGTTGTCCACTGTCAACTGACGTTGGCAAGCTTCGGGGCCACTACCTTAAGTCGTAGAGTTCTTCCATTACTAGTACGGTACATTTCATAAAGGGTGTTTAAAAAAAAGTTACTTATTATTTCAACGGGTCTTAAATCCTATCAGGATACCGTGAGTTAGCTGTCAAACAATAGGTGACACATTCGGGCAGAAGGGATGTGTAGCTTGTCGCGTGCCGGCCTTCAAAGGTGCTACTCGCTAACAGCACTTGCCCCAAAAATGTCTCTTGGAGGGCTTTGTGAAGCTGGGGTGCTATTTATTACTTTTCATTGCTATGCTTTTGAACTTTTTTTCACTTCCTGCCCTTGATTGGGAAGGGTTTTCCGGAGTAATGGCACTAAAAAAGTAGACTTGTTATACCTGCCCACAAAATATATTGTCAGTATGCATGGTCCTGAGCGTCCCCTAGGTCTACTCAGCCTCGAATGAGTAACTGGTGCGGTGTGTAAAACATCGCCACTCGGGAGACTACGGCGATCATGCGTGGTGCTGGCCACCCACCGCGTCGTGTGCCAAGCTGGCTTTCATAGGTGCTCGCTAACAGCACTTGCCCTGACAGTCTGTTACGGCTGTACGGGGGATCTTTGTCTTTGTAGCGTGTATGCTTCTGTGTGTAGGCCGCGTGCCCGTGTGTTTTTGTCTAAGGCAGTGGTCCTTAACCTGGGGTGCACGCACCTCCTGGGGGTGCCAATGATCCCTTTCTGAGAACCAAAGGGGTTGCAGGCTGCAGTGACGGGTACGCGCCCACGGATCTAGGGTTTAGCGAGTCCCCTGCGCACACGGCGAGGTGGGAGAGGACTTCAACCGTGCTCGCGAACAGTCTGTCGAGGTTGTGCGCACGGACGTTGAACTTCTTTCGCACTGTACGTCGCCAACTGTGCTAGTCCGCGGCAGCGGCGGCAGCAGCAGCGGCGGCGGTGGTGGTGGTGGTATCGTTGTCTTTGTATCCACAGCTGCTGGTGTTGCTGATCAACGAGAGTGGACGGCGAGCCGGGTTGAAGACGTCCGGCGTGCTCTTCCTCTTCTGGCTCTTCTCCGTGCTGTGCGAGATCCTTCCCTTCCAGACGCTCATCCGCAAAGCGATCGACGGCGTGAGTAGCGGCCGCGGCCGTCTTCGTCAGCGAGCGTCGCGGCCTCCGCGCCTTTACAGAGTCGACATCGCGGCGAATGAAAGGAGCTGTCCAACGCGTTGGAGATATGGCGCCGTCCACGTGTCAATTGCATAGCCGTCAACCCGTACGGCTTACCACGTGTTCTTGTGCAGGGAAATTGAGTTTGTAGGTCCATACGGCGTACAGCCGTTTCAATAAGGGCAAAAAAAGTGTCTTGTTTGTTTGTGTTTCTCCCTTGCGATGGCACTTTGTCGGATGAACGTTGAGGTTTATAAGGGCACGGGGCGACGAATACGTGTTTAATTGGTCCGTAATAAGGTAGGCACGGATAAGAGGTTGACAGGTATGTAATCCTCTTTAACATTTTAACTGATCAACTATGATTATTATTTTTCTGTTGTAATCATTATTTCACCGTAGCATCTGTGACCGGTCTCCTAGCGATCGAGGGAGCTCAGTTCGAGGGAGGAGATGGCTGTCACTTTGTGTACGTCCTCGCCCCGTCTTGATGCGCAAACTTCGGCAGCAAATTGCGTTCTCACTTCGGTTTGGCAGTCGACGTTCGGAGTTAGGACTGCGACCCCCCTCCCCCACCCCTCAAAGGAACGGCGCCACTCCCCGTGGTCACCCCCCTCCGCCCCCCCCCCCCCTCTTCCCCGTGATCCGTGGCTCAAACAAATCACAGAAGACGCCAGTGTACGGCAGCCAATAGCGGTTGATGAGAACGCTGTCACAGCAAGGGGTCACGTGCGCGATCAATGAATGAACATTGTTTACTATTCACAGAGCTGGGCTCAACATTAACAAAAGCAAAACCCAAAGTCGCGTACAACAAGTTGACTAATAATAATAATTATACAACGTGTAAAGCACCTGTCATCGAAGATCTCAAAGCACCGTACAAGACACAGCACACACTCAGCATGACACCGACTCAGGAAACGAAAACTAAGAATTGGTATGATAATTAAATTAAATACCACAAACTCATTTGCTCAACACATTGAAGGCTGGACAAAGGGAAGTGCACGAATAGAATGTAACACGAGCCATGTAAAATGTGCACGGACTCGGGGAGATCGTGAGATCTCGTGGAAGAGATTTCCAGAGTCTGTGGGCCACACCGAGGAGCAGCTTGGGTCACACATCGACCAACGCCTCTGTGCCCTGGGAACGCAGTGGAGATCTGCATGAGGCCTTGAGGGGACTTATGGGTGCAGCATGTCTCCGAAGTCGGCTTGGGGCAAGGTGGTTCAGAGCTTTGTTGTTTAGTAAAATAGGAGTTTTACATGACTCCTGTGTAAAACTGGAAGCCAGTGCAGCGAGACTAATACATTGTTGGAGAGTTACAGCTGAAAAAAACACACACATCACAGTGCATGCGCCGTGGGAGGTTATTGAAGGTGAGCTGGGATACTTTTAGTTTGGCTTTAACTGGTAACTTGAACAAGTAAAGCAAAATATATTTTAACTATTTTTTGTGGGGTATTTCTGAAAACATAAATACCCAAAATTACCTAGAATTAGTTTTTAATGTTTTCTATGAGAACATGGACGTTGTGACAGTGCTCTTTTTGCTAGTTTGGCGGGTCTATTTCTCTGATGGGATTGCTACGAACCCAGTGACATGACACTGGCCCAATGTCAAACTCATTCATTGCCCAGTAATAAAGCTGTCGTGGTTCATTACATCGTCATCATCATTGTCATCATTACCGTTGTCAATGTGTGATGTTCATACGCACTGACAGCCCTGGCTGTCGTGATCCTTCTCTGGATACCACTCTGTAAATATATTCGACACTGTATTAATGCCCACTGCGCATATTGTAGATTTATAATGGTTGTGTACACAATATTACGTGCTTGCTATTTGTGTGTGTGTGTTTGTGCGTGCCACTTGACACCCTGGACATCCTTGCTCACGAGATGTTCCATCTCAAGGGATTAATCCAGGTCATATATTTGAAACGTTTAGAAGGTATGTTTAATCAGGCCCGAATTGTCCGTCACGCGAGTGGTGGCCTCGGTAGAGGCCTGATGTGAGCGTTGTCCACGCACAATTGTGTGAATATTTCTCAGATTGGGAAACTAATGTCCGGTATGAAAAAATAAGAATAGGTTTTACCCTTCCTGGCAATAAAACAATTGTTAAGATGTTCAAACACCAAATAAAAACCTTTTGCAAGGAATCATGCCTGCATTAACCACACGTACTTGTGGTGAACATGCAAAACAAACTTGCTCTGATAATATTTGTATTGTCTTTGAAACTGATTGGTCGACAACATAAACAGCCTTCTTTCGGGCCTAGTCGCACCAGTGTCAGACCAGAGAACGCCAAAAGGCCATGTGCTGAGTCAACCTTCTGCGGCACAGGGACCGCGACCAATGCGGGTGGCCTTTCAAATGTGAGATGCCGAAGCGAGTTATGGTGTAAATCATAAAGGCATCCTATCAAAACGAATCATCATCATCATCGTTATTGTTGATATGAGCATGTTATATACTTAGCTCTTTCGGTAAAGTCACGTTGAAGGGAAACAATAAAATAATAAAATATATATAAAACAATAAAAATTCTCACGACGTTTCGACCATAACGCAAACGGGTTTTCACACCTGATGATGACCGTTTGCGTTATGGTCGAAATGTCGTGATAATTTTTATTGTTTTATATATATTTTATTGTTTCCCTTCAACGTGACTTTACCGAAAGAGCTAAGAATATGAATTACTGCAGTCACGAAAGCTTTAAATAAAAAAAATGAGCATGTTAATTATTATTATTTGTATGTTATTGTTCATTATTATTAACATGAGCATGTTTATTATTATTTCTATGTTATTATTATTATTAACATGAGCATGTTTAGGAATAGGTTTTACCCTTTTAACTGGCACAAAAACTGACACCTTTATTCAAGGCATCATGTTTGCAAAAACCACAACACAAGCAGTCAGAATGCAAACAAAAAAGACAACTCTGATAATATGCACTGTCCTTGAATTTGATTGGTCCACACCCGAGACAGCTTTTCTTAGAGCCTAGTCTCCATTGGTGTTGGACCAGAAGACGCCAAAAGGCGTACAACTCAAAAACAGCGCACCATCAGAGTATTGAGGGCTCGGGGTGAGCATTACATTATGAGACCTCCTTTGCCAGAAACAAGATATAGGAATAGGTTTTACCCTTTTAACTGGCACAAAAACTGACACCTTTATTCAAGGCATCATGTTTGCAAAAACCACAACACAAGCAGTCAGAATGCAAACAAAAAAGACAACTCTGGGACAGTGCATATTATTATCAGAGTTGTCTTTTTTGTTTGCATTCTGACTGCTTGTGTTGTGGTTTTTGCAAACATGATGCCTTGAATAAAGGTGTCAGTTTTTGTGCCAGTTAAAAGGGTAAAACCTATTCCTATATCTTGTTTCTGGCAAAGGAGGTCTCATAATGAGCATGTTTATTATTATTTGTATGTTATTATTATTAACATGAGCATGTTTATTATTATTTGTATGTTATTGTTATTAACATGAGCATGTTTATTATTATTTGTATGTTATTATTATTGATATGAGCATGTTTATTATTATTTGTATGTTATTATTATTAACATGAGCATGTTTATTATTATTATTTGTATGTTATTGTTATTATTGATATGAGCATGTTCATTATTATTTGTATGTTATTATTATTGATATGAGCATGTTTATTATTATTTGTATGTTATTATTATTGATATGAGCATGTTTATTATTGTTTGTATGTTATTGTTATTAACATGAGCATGTTTATTATTATTATTTGTATGTTATTGTTAATTATTATTAACATGAGCATGTTTATTATTATTTGTATGTTATTGTTAATTATTATTAACATGAGCATGTTTATATTCTTAGTTTTTTCGGTAAAGTCACGTTGAAGAGAAACAACAAAATAATAAAATATATATAAAACAATAAAAAATTCTCACGACGTTTCGACCATAACTCAAACGGTCATCTTCAGGTGTGTTGGTTTGCATAAATGTATTTTTTAAACGGCGCATTTATTTATTTATTTAAAAAACGTTAGCGCCACGCGCAGCGATTTGGCAGTTTACCCAGGACTAGTCCATCTATATTCTGAAAAGAGGAGGGGGGAGACAAATTTTTTTTTATAATGTATGCTGTCTGAAAGCCACTGTAAGCGTGAACAATCAATTAAGAACTGAAATGGTTTATCAAATCTTTCCAATGATTGCTAAGATAGAATCCATCTTCTCGGTTGAAATTGTCTCTGTGCTTGTATATGTGGATAGCCTCATGAACGAATCTCTCATGGAAGCCAGATGGCTTACAAAGAACCTCTGTCTTGGAAAAGTCAATGGCATGTGAGCCTACTGAATTAGAACAATGATCTGCTACGGCCGAGGTGTTGGTCCTACCGTGTTTAAGGTCTGCTTTGTGTTCACGAATGCGGTCCGAGACATGGCGTTTGGTTTCTCCAATGTAACTACTACCACAGAGGAAACTTAGTTTGTAGACACCAGGGTATTGTATGTCCGGAATCACATCTTTTACAGACGGAACCAGATCACGGATTTTATGTAATGTGTTGAAACGGACCTGGATCTTGTGTTTATTCAAGATTTTGGAGATCTTTTTTGTGATCCCAGCAATGTAGGGTAAAGTGATGGTTTTGAAAGGCTCCTCAAGAGGGTTCTTCTTCATGGTTTGAGTGATAGCTTTGCGGATTGTATAGTCGGAGTAACCATTAGCCCTAAGAGCTTGGTGTACGTGCTTGAGTTCACTGCTTATGTGTCCCTGGTCGGATATGCATTGGGCTCTATGATACAGAGTCTTGATGAGAGAATTCTTCTGTGATGGATGGTGTTGGGAATCCGGTTTCAGATAAGCATCCGTATGGGTAGCTTTCATGTAGACAGAGTGGCTCATTGAACCATCAGGTCTCTTTTTAATTAGGACATCCAAAAAAGGTATCTTGCCATCTATTTCGACTTCCATGGTAAATCTGATAGCTGGGTGTATGGAATTTATGTGGTCGAAGAATTGGTCTAGAGCAGGCCGGCCATGTGGCCAGATGATAAAAGTGTCATCCACGTACCTCTTCCATAAGGTTGGGCGCAGAGTGGCAGTCTGGATGGCGTCAGTCTCAAATTTCTCCATGAAAATGTTAGCTATAACTGGAGAAAGGGGGGAGCCCATTGGGGTGCCCTCAGTTTGTTTGTAGAAAGTTCCATTCCAAGTGAAGTATGTATTGGTTAAACAGTGTCTCACCAGGAGGGGGTACCTCAGTGTTTAGTCCTTGATGAACCAAGTCTTCAATGATTGCAATGGTGTCAGGTACAGGAACCTTGGTGAATAAGGAAACTACATCAAAACTGACAAGCAGGTCATCTGGGGACAGGGAAATACCCTTGATTGTCGATACCAGGTGAGTAGAATTTTGTACCGCAGAGGTGGTCTTTCCAGTGAAAGGACGCAGGATTTCAGACAAAAAACGAGCTAGTTTGTAGGTAGGGGAGCTGATAGTAGAGACTATGGGACGAAGAGGTGTATCTACTTTATGTATTTTTGGTAAGCCGTATAATCTTGGTGGCCTGGCAGCAGAAGAATAAATAAATAAATGCGCCGTTTAAAAAAATAAATTTATGCAAACCAACACACCTGAAGATGACCGTTTGAGTTATGGTCGAAACGTCGTGAGAATTTTTTTTATTGTTTTATATATATTTTATTATTTTGATGTTTCTCTTCAACGTGACTTTACCGAAAAAACTAAGAATATGAATTACTGCAGTCACGAAAGCTTTAAATAAAAATATGAGCATGTTTATTATTATTTGTATGTTATTATTATTGACATGAGCATGTTTATTATTATTTGTATATTATTATTATTGATATGAGCATGTTAATTATTTGTATGTTATTATTATTATTAACATGAGCATGTTTATTATTATTTGTATGTTATTAATTATTATTGATATGAGCATGTTTATTATTATTTGTATGTTATTATTATTATTATTATTGAAATGAGCATGTTTATTATTATTTGTATGTTATTATTAATTATTATTAACATGAGCATGTTTATTATTATTTGTATGTTATTATTATTAACATGAGCATGTTTATTATTATTTGTATGTTATTATTATTATTGATATGAGCATATTCTTAGTTTTTTCGGTAAAGTCACGTTGAAGAGAAACAACAAAATAACAAAAAATATATATAAAACAATAAAAAATTCTCACGACGTTTCGACCATAACTCAAACGGTCATCATCAGGTGTGTCGGTTTGCATAAATGTATTTTGAAAACGGCATATTTATTTATTTATTTATATAAAAAAATAACGTTTGCGTCACGCGCAACGATTGGCAGTTTGCCCAGGACTAGTCCATCTATTTTTTGAAAAGAGGAGGGGGGAGACGAAATTTGTTTTTATGTATGCTGTCTGAAAGCCACTGTAAGCGTGAACAATCAATCAAGAACTGAAATGATTTATCAAATCTTTCCAATGATTAGAAAGATTTGATAAATCATTTCAGTTCTTGATTGATTGTTCACGCTTACAGTGGCTTTCAGACAGCATACATAAAACAAATTTCGTCTCCCCCCTCCTCTTTTCAAAAAATAGATGGACTAGTCCTGGGCAAACTGCCAATCGTTGCGCGTGACGCAAACGTTATTTTTTATATATATAAATAAATATGCCGTTTTCAAAATAAATTTATGCAAACCGACACACCTGATGATGACCGTTTGAGTTATGGTCGAAACGTCGTGAGAATTTTTTATTGTGTTATATATATTTTGTTATTTTGTTGTTTCTCTTCAACGTGACTTTACCGAAAAAACTAAGAATATGAATTACTGCAGTCACGAAAGCTTTAAATCAAAATTTGATATGAGCATGTTTATTATTATTTGTATGTTATTGTTAATTATTATTATTAACATGAGCATGTTTATTATTATGTGTATGTTATTATTATTATGATTGATATGAGCATGTTTATTATTATTTGTATGTTATTGTTCATTATTATTGATATGAGCATGTTTATTATTATTTGTATGTTATTATTAATGATTGATATGAGCATGTTTATTATTATTTGTATGTTATTGTTAATTATTATTATTAACATGAGCATGTTTATTATTATTTGTATGTTATTATTATTGATATGAGCATGTTTATTATTATTATTATTTGTATGTTATTGTTCATTATTATTGATATGAGCATGTTTATTATTATTTGTATGTTATTATTAACATGAGCATGTTTATTATTATTTGTATGTTATTATTAATTATTATTAACATGAGCATGTTTATTATTATTTGTATGTTATTGTTAATTATTATTATTAACATGAGCATGTTTATTATTATTTGTATGTTATTATTAATTATTATTGATATGAGCATGTTTATTATTATTTGTATGTTATTATTATTATTAACATGAGCATGTTTGCCGTCGTCTCCCCAGCACGGGGACGTAGCTCGCTTGAGCCTCTTCTACATCTCGTTCGGACTGCAGCTCAGCAGTCTCGTGATGTCTGGTTTCGCTGACCTGCCCAAGGACCACGGAGTGAGCGACGACTCTGGCATGGTGAGTCACCCTCGCGAGCGTTACGAAGATCCCAACGGTTGATTCCATCGGTGTTGATGAGACATCCTTGAGCGACACAGAGGGCAGCCGCGCGATGGAACGTGCATTCAGCATGGATTATAATTCCAAGCATTGTGAAATTTGCATAGAATTGTTAACGACATTTGTATAAATCACTGCCCTATTGTTGTTTGTGAAGTCACGTCGCATTAATAGTTGATGTTATATTAATGAAGAAAAAAAAACGAATGCCTTAAATGTCAATCAAAGCGATTGATTGTTCCTTGCAGAAACCGAGTCCAGAAGAACACGCCTCTTTCCTTAACCAGATCACGTTCACCTGGTTTGACAGGTGAGCAGTTGGTTGTACGCTCATCGCAATGCTCACTCGGCCTCTGCACCTCTTCCTCAGAAATTGATGGGGGACATTGATGGAACGATGCTAAAAATAAGAATTATGTTCATGAAGCGCCTTTCATCAGAGACCGCAAAGTGCCATACAAGACACAGGAGACAGTTTAAGACGTAGAATGCTTTCGCGACCAATATCCATAACAACCGTTTTTCGGGTTAGATCTCGTAAATATAAATGTGTCGTTAAACCCGCCACCACCCGACACGGCCAATTAGTGAGGTTTGTCACGTAAACAAAACGTGGCGATTAGTTACTACGTCTGTATGGGATAGCGTGTTGCCCCCTCACTTGAGTGCATTTTGTCCGGGTGCTGCTCCAGTTTCCTCCCACATGTAAGAACTCGTTAAATGGCCGATAACACCTGGGGCGACGAGGTGGTGAGATGTTAACTACCTCGCCCGGTATGCAGGAGGCCGTGGATTCCACCCTGACCCTGACGCCTGTACATTTGGAGTTTGAAATTCTCTACCCGTGGCCGCGTATATTTTTCTCTGGGTCCTCCGATTTTTCCCTCCACATTAAGAAACACGCGTTTAGAGTATTTGGCTGCAATACATTTCCACGTGACAAGCCACTTTGCTGAGCTTTCATTTGTGGCCGGGTCACTTCTGAAAAAGAGCTACATAGCTCAGTGGGCCCTTACCTGGTAAAATAAAAAGTTTAGTTTCGTTGAGACCACAGAGTTTTGGACACTGGCACATTTCTTGGCTGCCTCCCCGCTTGTCTGCGGTGACTCCTGGCGCCTCTGAGTCGTCCTCTCTCTACAAGGACGAGCAAGCGCTGTTGCAGCACGTTACAAGTCGAACATTGTTGAAAAATTCATGTTCTTTCACGAAGTAGCATTTGAGGATTGTTTAATCAAGTCCAGGGAAGATGTCGTGATATAACGATCATCGCACTGTACGTTTCCTCCTGTGCTTCAATATTGCACTAAACCTGTTAAGTGTGAGGCGCAGTTAATGTTTCGATGCATCTGAAGATAGCCTCGTCAAATGGACTACAATATCAAATAATTGACTGCATAATTCTAGAGGTTGCCTGGCCTCCGGGCCCTTAAACTAAAACAATTTACCATGAGAAATAGCGATGCTGCCTTAACGTAACACTTAGCTGTGCATTTTGCGGTGTGGGCACACTTGGGGAGTTAGTGGATCGCACAAATGTTGTGAAACTCGCTTCCCGTGGGTGTCGGGGAAGTGCCACATTCTTGCCCGCCAGGAGAAGGCAGCGGCTGTACAGCAAAACATGTAAATAACAGGTCCCTGCAGGGTGGGCTGGTAGGAACATTGGCAAAGTAACGTCACGGTGCCTTCGAACTTCGCCTCGCAAATGGTATTCGGCTGTGGGCTGTGTGTGAATTTGCCACATCCCCAAATGCGAAGTTCGCAAATGAGATAATGTGACTTCCAAATGTTGGGTGCAATAAGACATATCAAGTCTCTGCGCTGTCTATTGCTGATTTTACACCCAACAGCACGAGATTTCACTTCGTTAAAGTATTGAAAGGGGACGGACGGACGGACACATTAATCTATTGCAGGCTGGTACACTCAGTTTACAACTTCGTTCCTACCAGTATTACCTGTTCCGTCTGTACAGGATAGAGCGTTGCCCCCTCGCACGTACGTTGAACTTCTTTCGTACCGTACGTCGCCAACCGTGCCAATCGGAGGTGTGGTCAGTGCGGCACTTGAAAGAGTGGGCAAGCTTTTTAAAATCCTCCCGTCTCGGTCCGGAATCCTGAGCAGTGTAAATGGGTTCGCCGCAGTTGGTCGTTTGGCAGGTCGCGTGTGGTGGGGGTAAAGTGTGGGTAACTCGCCCACGTGGAGTCGACCAAAATGCCCTCGAGAGCTCCTTCGAAGTGGAAGCCCTTTCCGCCAGCAGCGGTGCGAGCGGGATATTGCAGGGCTGCACCTTCACCCTTTGTGCTGTGTAACCGAGTCCACCTGTGGCCTAGCATGGTGTACCGTGGGTACAAAAAGCCGCTGGAGGTGGAAGACCTCTGGGGGCTTAACGAGGAGGACAAAGCCGAGCGAATATTCTCCGACTTCGACCGCAACTGGGAGCTGGAGCTGGAGCGGGCACGGAAGGAACAGCAGCGGGAGCTCGCCGCGTCGCCCTCCCTCAGCGCCAACGGCATGGGCAAGAGCACCGAGGCGCTGGCCATGGTGAGGAGGGTTTCTTCAGAAGGAGGAGGCGCGTGTGTCGCAAGCTTCGTCAATAACCAGCGGGGCCATCCGTCGATGACCCCGCAGGGCAGTGGCGTAGTAACAACATTATTGGGCTCCCCCCCCAATATTTGATTTGTCTCGCACGGTTGCACCTCGGCGATTATATATCGTGGCTCCTCTTGCCCGAATCACGTCATCGTCGTTACGCTCACGGTCTTGAACATTTAACCCTGTCGGGGCACTCCGGCTTCGCAAAATTCAGCCACTACAGCTCCATTAGCAGTACCTCTTTTGCAACATTACGTTCCTGCTCTAGTTCAATTAGCGTTTTCATGAAGTAATTTGAAATCGCATTCACATTTTCTTTTAGTCCTTTTTACACTGCTGTTGAAACCATCTCTCGTGGTGGTTGTCAAGAGGGCCGCCAACTCGTTGCTTTGGCGCTGCTCCTTCTGTCGAGGACCTACGTTTGCACAGTGCGTTCTCCTAAAACGCTGCATGTTGTTTTCATGACGCGAATTGTATATAACGCGATGAATGTGTCGCGACTCAGATCAGAGACGGTAATAACTGGAGGCACTTTTATTTAGCAAGCACCATCGGGGTAACACACACGATGATCTTGAACAGCCACGAGCTCCCGCTCAGGGCCCCCTCTTATACTCCCAGCGAGGCCTCGCTCCGCCTTGGCCACGCCCCCCTTCTGGAACCTCCTCGCGGGGTCCCTCTGTGACCACTCCCCTAGATGTCCCCTCTCGTGTCTATCGTGGCCTGCTGACGTAAGGACTGCTCTACACCGCAGTTACCATTTTACGCCAGCAGATAGCGCTATGCCACTACAAATGTACGAGGGAACACATTTTTTTTTTATATTGCGGATGGTAATTGGATATAACGCGATGGAGTGAACAGCATAGGAATAAGGGGTTGTACGGCTTGGCGTAGCATCACACAAGGCGGGATGCTGCTGGATGTTTCTAGACGCTACCCACGCGTCTCTGTATTTTCTTGTGAGAATATTATTGTGTTATTTTATTTTATCAATTTATTATTTTATTCTCATTCTACGTGACTTTACCGAAAGAACCAAAGAAGATGAATCATTGCAGTCACGAAAGCTTTAAATCGAAAGTCTCTGTATTTGTTCAGCCTGTGTAACACATCTTACGTGTTATCGCAGACTGTGCTTTACCCCTCTATATCATATATTATTTATCACAACGTAATTTTTCCATTACGCAGTGCTCTTCAGGAACGCTAACTACTACCACGTTATAGGAGAACAGGCTGTATGTTGAACTTCTTTCGCACCGCACGTGGCTAACCGTGCTCATCTGATGTGCCCCGAATGCTGCCACAGGAGCCTATCCAAAAGGACGGCGACAATAAGAAGAAGAAGAAGAAGAGCGACAAGCGGGGAAAGTTGGAGCCGTCCCTCCTGCGCGCTCTGTTCTTCACGTACGGCTGGGTCCTGCTCGAGTCGGGAATCTTTAAGCTCATCTACGACCTGCTCACCTTCGTGAGCCCGCAGATCCTCAAGTACGTCGACTTCCGCGAGGAGTCGTTTTGCATCGGTGATTGTGCATTGTTTGTACGTGCGTGTGTGCGTACATTGAACTCCTTTCACACCGTGCGTAGGCAAACATGCTTTTCAGAAAAGCAGGAAATAAAAAAAAACGCGAAAAAAAATGGTTAATACCGGTTTGCCACACGTATAGAAATGCCAAGAGTAATAAATGAAACATGTGCGCTCAGACTTAGCTGAGCTGCCCATTCTGATCGCGGGAAGTAACAACTGTGTCCAGCTCTTAGATGGACAACGTAGGTTGTGATTGCATTGTTGCACGTGATTACAAATATTCGTTTAGTCTTCATGAAAGAACAAAACGGACAATTTCCAAATTGCTCAATGCAATTAAGCGTTCTTCCAATTCGCCCCTTTGCATTTAATCCGCGCCTCCGATTATCACGGTTGGCTACGAACGGCACGAAATAAGTTCAACATACACACATACAAGGCATTTGTATTCCTATTATTAATGATAGACGACATTATTTTTAACGCTTGTGAACTGCGAGAGAAAAGGGCACCCTCCGTTGACCGCCTTGGCTGTGACGTGCTCGACGTTGCAGGTTGCTGATCGGGTTCACGGAGGACCAGAACGTGATGGAGTGGAAAGGATACTTGTACGCCATCCTGCTGTTTGTCACGGCACTCGTGCAGTCGCTGCTGCTGCAGCAGTACTTCCAGCGCTGCTTCCTGTTCGGGATGCGGGTGCGCACCGCCGTCATCGGCGCCGTCTACAAAAAGGTGCTGCACGCGCTCCAGTTTCGTTTCACGCGTCATTTATTTACACGTCTGTGTTTGTACTATGTTGAACTTCTTTCGCACCGTGTTGTATATGCCGGGTATTGAAAGTTTAATGAAAAAAAATGAGATAAAAAATGCGTAATTTCCCAAAATTATGTTAATTGATGAAATTATGCACGTAAATTATGTTAATTCGAGAGATAATTGTATTTATTTATTTATGCGAATGTGTGCGCTTACGCTAATACGAACCGTTATGATAATTAGGCTTAGCTTCGTTGCCCAGGGTCGTATCATCAATCAGGATAAGACAATTAATCGTATGAAGTTATGCAGGTGTGCTGTAAGTATGCCAGATTAAGCTCGGCTTCGTTGTCTAGGTTTGTATTATCGATCGGTATAATACAATTATTCTCGTTTTAACATTTATTGATTATGTATTAGTGCGTTATGTCAAGTCTCCAAATTCAAATCTCACCGCAGGATACAGTTCTTATAATTAATATTATTACGTATGAACTCAGGAAAGAAACACTCAGACACTTCTGTGTTATGCAATTTAAATTTCTAAACAAAACCTTAACACTCTAAAATGCGAATTCTTATACTTGAAATTGTCCACACAGTACTCCAGGAGATGTTCCACTCATTGATCCATACATTTAACCCTCAATGATCACGTTTGTTAACTGGGTAACAGAACAATGGATTACTTCCTCAGAGTACGCGAGCATACACGGCGAGAGGAAAAAGTCCTTAAAAATTCATGCGACGATATTCATATCAAAGGCAATAAAGTAATAATTATACCCCAAAGGCAAAAGTATACATCAATAGATTCATCGGCAAGATTATGCAATAAAAAAAACGAACGACTAAAATACTTCTAAATGACCGTGTCCACGTAACTCAATGGGCAGCAATGTTCTTCACGATCAGTTGATATTTAATGCACCACCTTGGAATGGCAACCCTTCTTGATTTGTCCCGATATGCGTGTTGTGTCTTCGTAAAGCAGACGCCGGGCGATGCGTCGTGAGGCTGTGAGTGTGGGGGAGGGTCGTACAAACGGCTTCGTTCTCTCTCTTGCTCGGGGGCGGCCACAGTTTCGGTCCACCGCTGGCTGTAAGAGTCGGCACGACGCTCGCCGTCTGTGCGAGACGATCTGTCGTCAGATAGCGCCCGCAGCTCGTCCGCAGGCTGCAGTTCCTCACTCTTGTCTTGGTTCCCAGCCGGTGCTGCTCGGTGCGCGTGTGGGTCGAACCCACGGGGCGCTCGCTGGCGCCGACGCTCTTGCTCACGGGCGGCCGGTCAGGCTCTTTCCCCTGCTGGATGAGCCGAGTCGGCACAACGTTTGTCCGCTGGCAGCTGGCACCCTTGCTTGGTGGCGCTGGTGGCGCTGCTGCGCGATCTCTCTTGCTCCGTCTCTCTCCGGCGGTGCCGATTGCGCGTGCAGCTGGTATCCTGTAATGCTGGCTTGAGGTTTATTGCGTGACGCTGAGAATAACTTTCAGCGGTGCTCTGTCGGTCCATGCCGAACTCAGCACAGAGCTTCACCTCGGCCCTCTTCTCTGCGATGCACCGCACGCATTGTTGTTGATCTCGAGGACCATGCCCCGGAGCTGGCTTGCTGTCCTCTTCCGAGCTGCTGTGTCGCCGTCTTCTGCCGCTGGTAGTTGAGCCTCAATGCTGGCGTGTTTCTCTTTTTATGCCAAAATTTCTCTCTCTTGCTCCCTCCTCACAAAGGACCGGAACTTTCTTTGATCTCGCTGTGTGTTGTGGGGGGCTGTGCGTGTGTCCGTGTGTGTGTGTCATTTATTAAGCCATCTGCGTCTCTCCCCAAGCCATCTTTTCATCCGTGGAACACATGCCCCCCTTCAATAAAAATAGTCATTTCCTTCGCTGAGTGTTACATTCCTTGCTCTCCAGTGCTGCGGGAAGACAAAGACGGTGGGGAGGCTCCTTCCCTATGGGATACAGCCTAACTTGGTTGTGTAAGTTTGACCTCTTTCGCCTCATCCCTTCTCGATAACCCTCGGTTTAATACTGCATAAATATTATTTGGTTTATGTTTCCTAAGATTTGTGATTGAACATTGTCATCACCACGTATTTTTTTATGGTTTATTAATTTCGTCCCCCCGTCCGTATCCGGGAATCGGTGCTGTTATGCTTGAGTTATTATTTATTTTATTTTATTTTTGATGTCCTGAGTTTTAGAGGTAAGTTTCTTGACTGTTGGAATTCATATTCTTTGGTTTTTGTAAGGTCGCGTAAACGGCAAGATGTAATATTATTTAAGGTGAACAACGTTAGTATTAATATTATGTGTGAGAAGTAATAACCCGCTATGTAGATTGTCGTCTGGTTTATTTTTTTTATCGTAGTGAGTGTGTAGATTCCTATAATGTCAGCATATTCTTGTTGCCGAGTTTTTCTTGGACTTCTGTTAATTAAAATAACCAAAATCTGTCTGTCCGGTTTTCGCCGCCCTGGAGCTGGCGAGGCTTTGAGGAATACCCCCCCCCCTCCCCATTTCTTCTTTGTTGTGGGTTTATTACTTTTATTACTATCTCCGGCGGCCAGTTGTGTGTGAGGGGAGGCTGCTGTGAGGGGAGGGGGTTGTTCACCTCACCCCCTCTTGGCCTCCAAGCGACACCACGAGATTAAAAAAAAAAATCGGCAAAATCATTATTAATATCAATTTTTGGAAAAAGGCCTGTATATGCAACAACCATACGTAGCCAACTGTGCTAGTCGCACGTGCGGAGGAAGGGCAACAAACTAAATACACAAAGCAGTTGTAGAGAAATTCGTTTTCTTTCCTAATTTAGCAGTGCATAGCTCCAAAGTGGTAAAACCAATTCTTATAGTTTGATACTGGCAAGAAAGGTCCTGTATTATTGACTTCTCTATTAATTTTTTGCCTGTTTCAGCGGTTGCGTTAAAAAGCTATGTTTTTATATTTGTTGTGAATGTTCGCAGAATTGTTACGCAAATTGTATGTATGTTCTCCCAGGTATCGTTTTGAAGATCCAGAGGCTGACTGACATACACTTCCGATTTACATATATAGATATATGGACTACTCCGCCATAATGGCACTTGTTCCTGGTTCCTTGGGAGCCACGATGGCGAGATGTTAACTACCTCGCCTGGTATACGGGTGGTCGTGGGTACGATCCCGAGTCTGACGCCTGTATATTTGGAGTTTGTATGTTTCTCTCCCCGTGGTCACATGGATTTTTCTCCGTGTCCTCCGGTTTTCACTCCACACTTATGAACATGCATTTGGAGTATTTGGCTGCTCTAAATTTCTACGTGATGAGCCACTTAATTGTGCAATCATTTGTGGCCAGGTCAATTCCGAATAAGAGCTATATAAATTTCGATTTAAAGCTTTCGTGACTGTAGGGATTCATCTTCTTGGTTCTTTCGGTAAAGTCACGTAGAAGGGAAATAATATTTTTTTTTAAAATAAAACATAATAAAATAAAATTCTCACGACGTTTCGGCCACAACACAAGCAGCTGTCTTCAGGTGAAGAAACAGAGCTGTTCGAAAGACAGTGCTCCAATGAACACTGCTAAGCTTGGCAGCGTCTTTTATGCTGGGTGGGAGCAGCAGATCGCCTTGACAACGGAGTTTACATATCAACAGAATATGTAAACTCTGACTTTAACATAGCTACTTCCGTGACCAGTTACATGCTAATTCCTCACATTAACATCATGCTAATCTCCAAGTTACATGCTAATTTCTGACTTAACATCCTGTTAATCTCTCACATTAACACAGCTACTTCAATGCTAAATTCTTCTGTTGATATGTAAACTCCTTTGTCAAGGCGCTCTGCTCCTCCCACCCAGCTTAAAAGACGCTGCCAAGCTTAGCAGTGTTCATTGGAGCGCTGTCTTTCCGACAGCTCTGTTTCTACACCTGAGGAAGGCTACTTGTGTTGTGGCCGAAACGTCGTGAGAATTTTATTTTATTAAGTTTTATTTTTATTATTTTATTATTTCCCTTCTACGTGACTTTACCGAAAGAACCAAGAGTAAAAGCTATATAGCTCAGTGGGCCTTACTTGGTAAAATAAAAAATTTAGTTTGAATAGTTTCACTTCCACCCTCGGATGCATTTCAAAAAGTTGAGTAGGTCGAGGTGACACACACGTGCGTGCGCGTACTAACGACGATCGCCTTGGTCTCTGCCGCTCGTCTGCCGCTGGTGCAGTCCCTCGTCATGTCAAACGCGGCACGCAAGGACTCCACGATCGGCGAGACCGTCAACCTGATGTCGGCCGACGCGCAGCGCTTCATGGACGTGGCCTCGTTCATGCACCTGCTGTGGTCGGCGCCGCTGCAGATCGTCATCTCGCTCGTGTTCCTGTGGGCCGAGCTTGGCCCCTCCGTCATGGCCGGCCTCGCGGTCATGGTGCTGCTCATTCCGTTCAACGCCGTCCTCGCCACGCGCTCACGCGCCCTACAGGTCCGGGGCACACCGGCGGCCGAGCGGTCGACGTTCAGTAACGATCAGTTTGACGCGTTATTTTGTTTGGGTTAGATCGCCTGAATATAGATGCGTGTCATTAAAACCCGCCACCACCCGACACGGCCAATCGGTGAGGTTTGTCACGTCAACAAAAATTGCCAATTAAAGTAAACCCACAGCATTTACAATTTGAGTACGACGTTTCGCAGGTGATTACAACCAGCTTCATCAGGCGATTTGCTATAATTCTGGGTTTACTCTCCAACACACCGGTGTGCCGAAGTAGGGCGACAACATTTATGTTTACGCGATCGAACCCAAAAATAACCCCATTTAATGATGGTCTGTAACGATGACGATGGAAGTCGTCTCACCGTGATGTTTTTCCCACAGTCGCTCGTAACGCGAACGCGGCCTTCCGGTTTCGCATGCGCCGTCGAGCGTTCGCTCTCCCGAGTTTTCGCCGCCACCGTCCCACTGTGGGCATCTTCACACAGCCGGGCGGTGGTGGCGGCTACACTCCACGTGGCTGCCTGTAACGCCGCACCGTGGATGCAGCAGCTGGGGGTTGGTGGATCGCACACAGATGTTGTGAAACTCCCCCGTCCAGCGGTCATCGAGGAGCTGGAGTAGTTTTGTTTAATAATTATCCGTGGCTTTATCAACGGATAAAGGAAAGGAGCGTCCCCAGCAGTAGCAACCAGGCGGCCGGTGGTGGCCTTGCTGCGCGTGGCCTGTCACCCAGCACTGTGGGAGGCAGCGCCGAGCGTTGGTGAATGTCCACGAACGTTGCAAAATTTATTTCTCGTCGGTGTCGAGGTGCCATAACCTTGGCTCTCCAGGAGGAGACAGTACAGCAAAGATGTGGACTCCACCTGGTCCATTTGTATGCGATAGAGTGTTTCCCCCCCCTCCTTCCACACGTGGGGTTTCTCCCTGGTTCTTCTATCTTCTCCCGCATGTGAACACTGATTTATTGGCCGATAACACCTTCATATATAGAGAACCGCAGAGCTTGGGCAATTGTTGGAGCTAGCTAACTGCGTCGCTGCTGCCTTCCTGATCGCCTGTTGTTCTGTCTGTTCGAGAGCGAACACTGTGCGCGTTACAAGTTGAAATTTTTATTTAACTCCCGACGGAGCCCGTAGTGCAGAAGCGTGATTGTCTCTCGCACATTACCAAACCATCGCACCCGGCCCCAGGCTCGAACTCTGAGTCTGTTTGGTCCTCTCTCAGTGTTTTAGACGTGGCCATTAAGAACTTGCTGTTGTGGCATGATCATGAAGATCGTCTCTGGATTTGAGACAAAGTTGGCTGGGCGTATGCAGTGCTGGCTTATGTTGGCCTTAATATATATGATTTCATTCTACCACTGAGCTGTGTAGCTCTTTTTCAGAAGCGACCTGGCCACAAATGATCCCTCAACAAAGTGGCTTATCAGGGGCCATTCATTTAGTACGTAAGCAAAAATCTGTCAGAACTTGACCCCTCCCCCCCTCCCTGTATGCACGCGTACTTTTTACACCCCCCCCCCCCCCCCACCTGCGTACATACGCTTGACGCACCCCCCGCCCCTTCTCGAATCCTATAGAACGGCCGATATTTAATCCACGCAGAAACGATGAAGAATTAATCATATTAACGTGTTTAACCTGGACTATCTAACTAATTTGAAGGCCAATGTAGACGAATTATTATCGAGACTTCAACCCCCCCCCCCCGTTTCCGATGCATACGTACATTGTCAGTAGACCCCCCCCCATGTGCAAACGTACGCATTTAGGTTAACCCGCCTCCCCCCTCCATGCGTACGTCCTAAATGGATGGCCCCTCATGTGGAAATGTATGGCAGCCAAATACTCACGAACAACATTTGAGGATGTGGTGTAGCGCCAGTACCGAGAGAAGGGTGAAACTGTCGGTGTGGAGTCTCTCTCTAGCACCGGGATGAGTACAGAACGGAAGGGCCCCTAGGGGGCATAGTTCGGGTGACAGCGTAAGCGAGGGTCGGGTGAGGACATGGTAGTCTGGGTGAACCCGAGAAGGCACGTGACCGGATGAGGTAGTAACGAGGGCCAAAGAGGAGGTGAGAGGGACACGTGATGTGGGCCCAGAGTCTCCGAGAAGGATCTGGAAGGGGGCGTGGCCAAGGGCGGAGCCTGGCCACGCCGCAGCCCATAAAGGCCGAGTCCCGAGAGCGATCTTGGCTGTTTGTCTCTTCGGTCTTCGGGCTTCACGCACGTCACCGTGGACCAGGCAGGGAGTTAGCCGACCTGGTCTGAGTATATAGTTATCCCGTTGAGTGGTTACGTAGCTAACCGTGGTGGTTACCACCCTATATCGTTATCCCGTCAAGTGGTTATATGGTTACGCCGTTGTATTAAGAATAAACGTGTTGCCTCCAAGTTCGAGTGTGCGCCCCTGTGCAACCCACTACACATGTTAAAGGCTTAATCCGTTCCGATAGCATCGAAAGTTACCATTTTTTGCCCCAAAAAACGTACTTTATAATGTTTATACAATGGATATTAATACATTACGATACTAACAGCATTATATGCACATAATATTAAAAGAAACATGGTTAATAAATGCATTAATTAATATTTACTGTACCTACAATAGCCTGTCGTTAACAGAGAAATGTTCGGTAAGCGAACACATTGGGCTCTATGGAGACACTACATTACTATACACTACACTACTATACACTACACTATACACTACACTACTATACACTACACTATACACTACACTACTATACACTACACTACTATACACTACACTACTATACACTACACTACAATGCACTACACTACTATACACTACACTATACACTACACTACTATACACTACACTACTATACACTACACTACTATACACTACACTATACACTACATTGCTATACACTACACTATACACTAGACTACTATACACTACATTACTATACACTACACTATACACTACACTACTATACACTAGACTATACACTACTATACACTATACACTACTATACACTACACTACTATACACTACACTACTATACACTACATTACTATACACTACACTATACACTACATTACTATACACTACACTATACACTAGACTACTATACACTACACTACTATACACTACACTATACACTACATTACTATACACTACCCTATACACTAGACTACTATACACTACATTACTATACACTACATTACTACACACTACACTATACACTACACTACTATACACTACACTATACACTACTCTACACTATACTCTACTATACACTACACTACTATACACTACACTACTATACACTACATTACTATACACTACACTATACACTACACTACTATACACTACACTATACACTACACTACTATACACTACACTACTATACACTACACTATACACTACACTACTATACACTACACTATACACTAGACTACTATACACTACTATACACTACACTACTATACACTACTATACACTACATTACTATACACTACACTACTATACACTACTATACACTACACTACTATACACTACACTACTATACACTACACTATATACATTACTGTACACTACACTATACACTACTATACACTACACTACTATACACTACACTATACACTACTCTACACTACTATACACTACACTATACACTACTCTACACTACACTACTATACACTACACTATACACTACTCTACACTACACTACTATACACTACACTATACACTAGACTACTGTACACTACACTACTATACACTACACTATACACTAATCTACACTACACTACTATACACTACACTATACACTACACTACTATACACTACACTATACACTACTCTACACTACACTACTATACACTACACTATACACTGCACTACTGTACACTACACTACTATACATTGCACATTGGGCTCTATGGAGGCTCGTCGAAAACAGGGGTTGTCGTAATGAGAGGTTCTACTCTACGCACTGCATATGTGTGCGTGTTTATGGTACGGCTGTTCCTCACAAATCGCTCTCATTCCAACCAAATGGTTGGATGGACAAAAAAACCACGTCATGACATTGGGCCTAGGGTCTCCGCAGTCGCACGCCACTTGCTATCTCAGCGGTTGCTGTTTGTTGAAACGGTGTACTATTTATTAACATTATTTCTCATTGTTGTTGCTGTTTCAGGTGAAAAACATGAACGAAAAAGACAAGCGCATTAAACTTATGAACGAGATCTTGAACGGGATCAAGGTGGGTACCAGGTAAAGGCGTTCAAGCGCAGGCATGTCTTGAGACGCGTGGATTTGAACAGAGAGACTCGACGGGCTGAAGAGATCGGACCACAGACCCACCGCGCGCACCCACCCACCCACCACGCGTATACGCCGCTTACGTCGCTAACATAGTGCTTGTGCGTCCCATCTCAGATCCTCAAGTATTTCGCGTGGGAGACGTCGTTTGAGCAGAAGATTGGCCACATTCGCAACAGGGAGCTGAAAGTGATGCGCAGCTTCTCCTACCTGAACGCCGTGTCGATCTTCTCGTACACCTGTACGCCCTTCTTCGTGAGTTCTCCCCTTCCCAGCTGTTAACCCTTGACCTGCGGCAATATCCCCACAGCGCGTGCAGCCTGAACGCCGTAGCCGTATCCCACCTGCAGTCGTGACCATGAACTTCCTGGGTTAACCCTAGACTTGTAGTTGTAATCCTAGACCCGTAATCATAGCCGTTACCCTTATAGCCATAACCATAGCCCTGTAGTCGCTTGCTCGCGCTGCTGCTGGTAAAAGGGACATCCACTAGAGCAGTGGTTCTTCTTAATCTGGGGTGCACGCTGTACCCCCTGGGGATGCGAGATGCCCTTTCTGGGGGTGCGAGACATGGCCAGATTTTTTTAGAAGGTAAATAATCGAAAACACAAATGAAGCACCGGCACGTAAGTACAACTAATTTGTTTAATCAAACATATGCATTTATTGACATTTAAAAAATGTTTACTGATTGAGAACCAAATGGGGGGTGCAAGGCTGCAGTAAAGATTAAGAACCACTGCACGAGAGGGAGCTCTATAGAGCCCCCCTAGAGGGTATTTTATTTTACCCTAATCTTCCACGCTGGCCAGAACGTCTTGGAAGAGGAGGGACATACCCCACACTTTACGTCTTGGAAGAGGAGGGACATACCCCACACTTTACGTCTTGGAAGAGGAGGGACATACCCCACACTTTACGTCTTGGAAGAGGAGGGACATACCCCACATTTACGTCTTGGAAGAGGAGGGACATACCCCACACTTCACCCCCCCCAGTACGCGACCTGCAGATCGGCTCACGGCGAGGCACCGGTCAACGCCACCCAGGGTGCACAGAAAGCCACACGGGCGATTTTAAGAAACTTGCCGATTGTTTCAACTGGGAGATCGAGTCCCAATGGGCCAGCCCTCACACCGCCACAGCGGTGGCGGCGCCATCCGTAGCAGTGGGACTGTAGCCCTTAATTTTCTTCTCGTGATCTCAAGACTCGTCCATAATACAGTTTTTTTTGGGGTTAGATCGCGTAAATATAAAAATGTGTCGTTAAACCCAGCCACCACCCGACACAGCCAATGAGTAAGGTTTGTCAAGTAAACAGAACGTGGCCAATTCGTTATTAGTACAGCACACCGGTGTGTTGGAGAGCAAAGCCACAACATTTACATTCTGTGTACGACGTTTCGCCATTGATTGCAACTAGCGTCATGAGGAGGCAGCCAGATTTGTGGAGAAATCCTCCAGTTTCGTTCCTTTATACATTAACGCGATCTAACCCCAAACAAAACTGTATTGCGGATGACATTGGCCGTGAAAGCCCACGTGTTAAACTCAAGACTCGTGCTCGTTATTTTAAACCTTGAACAAAGTCCAGAGACCCGTGGCCAGCCTCTCCTCGCGACAACTCCGTAAATGCTCTCCCACTGCGCAGGTGTCGCTGGCCAGCTTCGGCGTGTTTGTGGCCGTGAGCAAGGACAACATCCTGGACGCCCAGAAGGTCTTCACCTCCATCTCCCTGTTCAACGTACTGCGCTTCCCCCTTGTCATGCTGCCCATGCTCATCTCTTACATCGTGCAGGTAAATAACAACAAACAACCGCCGTTGGCCACCAAGTGGCGGTGATGTCACCGCGGCGCTTGTGCCACGCTAGTTGCACCTTGACGCCACGCGAAGTGTCAAAGGCTCGCTGCTGGCAGGAGGTCACGGAACAGACCCAGCCGTCGTGGGGTTGACTGGATGAGATGACTGGCAGATGCACCACTGTGCCAACCCGCTGCGTTGTATCTGCCCGGTTCTCCGCTCATTGTCGTGAGCATCGCTCCTCTGCCCTCCTTTGTTTTTTGGAGGGTGACTGCCCTCCAACTGCCCAATAGCGTCCTTCGCGAGCCTGCTCCAGGTATACGCATCGTTATTAAAACAGGGAAAGGTGCAGCCCCGCGATTGATTGCTCACACCACCGCTAGCAAGTGAGGCCTCCGTTAGAGGGACCTCTATTTGGCCGAATTTTCTACACCGGCCAGACGTCTTGGGAGAGGTGGCGACACTTTATCGCACCACGCACGACCTGCCGCTCGAATATCAGTGGTTGTACCCATTCATACTTCTGGGTGGACGAGTTGGGGGGGATTTAAGAAACGTGCATCATTGTTTCACTGCTGATGTAAGTTACAAAATTGGTCAAATTTCCTTTGTAATGTTTCTTCTTACGCTTCCATTTTTTTCCGTTGAAAAAAATCGCCAGAAATATCAAATCGGTTTACCCTTATTGGAAATCAAATAGGCGTTAAGGGGCCGTCCATAAATGACGTCACGCACCTGGGGGGGTCAGACATTTGTGACGGGGGGGGGGGTGAGATATGTGACGTCACATCAAAATGCGCAACTTTAAATAAATATAGACAACACATTCTATTTAATTAAATAGACTTTTTAATCAATGTTTTCTCCTACAACATCAGAGTGCAGCGCCACATTAAATACGCACTACAATGACAATATTTTAAAGCGATTTGAAGCATGTTTTATTTTTGGGGGGCGGGGGGCAGAGCTTTGTGACGTCATATTTGAGGGGGGGGGTCTGTCTTTTTGTGACGCCGTGTGACGAGGGGGGGGGTCAAAAATCGTCCAAAATCGCGTGACGTCATTTTTGGACGTCCCCTGAGATGTTCAAACACCACGTAGACACCTCAAGTCAGAAAGGGTTTTAACCCTTCTTGCTCTAACTATTGCACAACGATCGGTGAAGATAATCACACTTTCAGCTCATCGCTGAGAGTCAACGCTATCCTCAACATCGATGTTTTCACCTTGGTACATTGTTTAACGCGTAGGCTTTCATGACCAATATTATCATTAATAGAGGTTTTTTTTGTGGTTGATTAACTGTGAATAACCCCAATCAATAATGGATATCCATTGTAATTTATATGGCTACATTAACCTCACCCTCTGGTCTTCGCATCTGATTGGCTCACAACTGATGACATCACATTTATCCTCCGTCTATTTAAGACTGAAACAGGAGGATTTCTCCACAATTCTGGCTGTCACATTTTGTGGGTTTACTGTCCTGAACTAGTAACTAACTGGCACGTTGTGTTTACGTGACAAACCTTACTAATTGGCCGTGTTGGGTGATGATGGGTATTACGCATTTATATTTATGCGATCTAACCCAGCAACAAAAAAAACAACCCTCTACCGATGGTCCCCGACTTACGATGGTCCCCGACTTACGACGGTCCGACTTACGATATTTCGATCTTGCGATGGCGATACGACAAAATTTGTAAATATTTTTAATTTCGCGCGATAGGCAAACGCAGCAGCGTTACGAGGTACGATACTTGTACGTTTAGGACGCTGCTGGGATGTACGCATCTCACGCCTGGTGTGGCGATGCCTCACTCTCACCAGCGGTCGACGGAGTTAAGTTGTCTCGGTGTTAGCGCGTGTACTGTACCTTGTCTTTTTTCTACTTTACATTTTACTGTGCAATACAGCATTGCAATTAATAAATACATATAGTATATAGTTTATACAGTACGGTACTGTAAATTGCTCCGTTTTGCTAAATTATCACCATTCTTTAAGACTCCTGGGGTAGGCTAAGGCCATGTTCGACTTACGATATTTTTGACTTACGATGGGGCTCGTCGTAACGCATCTCCATCATCGTAAGCAGAGTGCAAACCTGCACTCTGGTGCATTGTGTGAAAAAACAACCACGACAACAGCAATAATCCCAATTCTGTCTCACAACCGCGCAGGCGAGCGTGTCAACCAAACGCGTGAAGAAGTTCCTGAGCAACGATGAGCTGGACACGTCGGCCGTTACCCACGACAGCAATCTGAGTGAGTCAGGGCCCATGCCAACTGCACCCTCTGAACAGCCAACTTGGGAGGCTTACTGCACTGACTGGCGGCAGTGGTGCACACGCACATAGCAGCACGCGGACCGCCAGCATGGGGAGCAGTTGCTGGCTGTTTGCGATCGGAGCACGCGGATGGGCGTTCCAGAGAAAATGTGCACGCAAAGATGAGGACACACAGGACCCGACCCCTACATTAAAAAAAGACAAAGATCCCCCATGTAGGCTGTAACAGACTGTTGAGGCACGTGCTGTTAGCGAGCGCATATGAAGGTTGGCACGGCACACGAGGGGGTGGGTGGCCAACACCACGCCCGGCCGCCTTTGTCTCCCTCGTGGCGATGTTTACACACCGCACCAGGTACTAATTTTGAGGCTGAGTCGACCTAGAGGAGGCCCAACACCGGTTCAGATAATCGTCACTGGTGTTGGCCGTGAGTGGGAATCGAACCCGGTTTGGCCAGGTTCATAGCAGGGCGTGCTAACTGCTACACTACAGCTCCCCCACAGGACATACATGCATACACAGCATGCAAGTACACAGGATACATCCATTACAATAGGGGCATTTAAGATATAATCAGCACAGATTATGTATGTGTCAACTGGGGTATAACATGAACAACTAAAGCGTATTACATTACTGCATTTAGAGTAATTGGCCGCTATAAATGTGCATGATAAACCACTTAATTGGGCTATCATTTGTGGCCAGGTTGCTTCTGAAAAAGAGTTATTTAGATCAGATAAAATAAAAAAATCAATAGTTTAGTTTATAAAAGACCAAGGACTCTGCCATACTGAGAATGTATTAAGGTGCAAACCACCAGCTGTATATCACTGATGACTGCCCAATACAACAAGCATACCCTGGTGGAACAAACCACCAACACAACCAGCATACCCTGGTGGAACAAACCACCAGCTATATATCACTGATGCCTGCCCAACACAACCAGCATACCCTGGTGGAACAAACCATCAGCTGTATATCACTGATGACTGCCCAACACAACCAGCATACCCTGGTGGAACAAACCATCAGCTGTATATCACTGATGACTGCCCAACACAGCAAGCATACCCTGGTGGAACAAGCCACCAGCTGTATATCACTGATAACTGCCCAACACAACAAGCATACCCTGGTGGAACAAGCCACCAGCTGTATATCACTGATGACTGCCCAACACAACAAGCATACCCTGGTAGAACAAGCCACCAGCTGTATATCACTGATGACTGCCCAACACAACAAGCATACCCTGGTGGAACAAGCCACCAGCTGTATATCACTGATGACTGCCCAACACAACAAGCATACCCTGGTAGAACAAGCCACCAGCTGTATATCACTGATGACTGCCCAACACAACAAGCATACCCTGGTGGAACAAGCCACCAGCTGTATATCACTGATGACTGCCCAACACAACAAGCATACCCTGGTAGAACAAGCCACCAGCTGTATATCACTGATGACTGCCCAACACAACAAGCATACCCTGGTGGAACAAGCCACCAGCTGTATATCACTGATGACTGCCCAACACAACAAGCATACCCTGGTGGAACAAGCGGACTCCACCCAGCTACCACCCCGGATGCCATGGAATGGCTCCAAAATTTTTTTCAAATACATTTTTTCAACCGCATATACGAAAGACGTACATTATATCTGGAACACAGCGGCCTACAAGGTGACACACGTGAAAATCCAACAAACTCAATCTACAGACGCGATTCCCGCGTTAGTGAATAATCCGTTTTTTTCTGATTCTGGTTAAAATGTGATGATGGCTCCGTCACTAACGGGCAAATCACCAAGGCAATGTGTTTGGGCTCTTTGGTAAGGATGTTATTAGTTACATTTATATGGTGCTCGCTTAAATTGCTCACCAACTCAAAACGTCTTACATTACATTGTATTTCAATAGTTTCAATGTCTTGCTGCAATCTAACCTAGGGGACCCCCCTGGTGGCAGCTGTCCCTGTGCGACACATGGTTCACGCAGCACTGGCCTGCAAACTGGAATTATTCTACCATTAGTCTACCAGTATTGGGCAATGTTGCCTCTATGGGGATTTTTTTCAGTTATTAAGAAATTTGTAATGTATTACGTTTGGACCATTACACCGGCACACATGGACTGCTCTTTGTTGACTCATGCCACAAGATCTTTAATGTTCCCTGTGATGTAGGTGGTGCATAGTATTTATGGTCACTAAACTAACAGTATTAATTTGGGGTGGCTCCTGAGCTTGCACCACATACCTGTGCAGCAAGTGGCAAAACGCGCGACACACGCTGAGTTCATACGGTAAAAGTAGTACAAAATAATTACACAGTGCTTGGTCAATCCACTGCTGGATTAAAGCCTCCTTACGTTGTTGGACATGGGTGGTTATTTGACCATACTTCACCACGCTTAGTGCCAATTGCTGACGGCTAGCCGAAAATATCATAGTTCTCACGTACGACAGGAATTAAGCTTGAAACCGAGTCGACCGAGTAATTTTTCAGGAAAGTCCATTGGGATGTTTCACCGAACGCTTCTTGGGTGTTTTAAAAAAAATCTCATCTGCTAGGTACTTAAACCTACGAGTTGAGCCACTGTGTCGAAGGTGTGGGCCACGACAACGAAACTGGCAATTCCTGGGAGTTTTGGGCAATATTAGGAAGCCACTGGAGCTATGCACTATGGAATCATCTCGAATGAAAACACATTTCTTTAGAACTATTTTTTTGTGTTTAGTCTATTGTGCTTCCCCCACCCCTCCGATTAGCAAAGTTGGCATACGTACCATACTTCCAGTGTGCTGGGTTGGAGAAGTATTATCTTTTAAAGAGAAACATTGAACATTTTTTGAAATAAAAAATGGAATAAATATTGCATTGTTTAATATGTTACGGTTACGTGTGTCCACAGAGTCTGCCATTCTGATAGAAAATGCCTCATTTACCTGGGACAAGGGAGAAGAAGCGACCCTAAATGAGTAAGTGTGGTAATTCTAACGGGCTGCTTGCCGATTACGCTTGTACACTGTTCTTTTACAGACGGAACCAGATCACGGATTTTATGTAATGTGTTGAATCGGACCTGGATCTCATGTTTATTCAAGATTTTGGAAATCCGTGATCTGGTTCCGTCTGTAAAAGATGTGATTCCGGACATACAGTACCCTGGCGTCTACAAACTAAGTTGCCTCTGTGGTAGTAGTTACATTGGAGAAACCAAACGACATGTCTCGGACCGCATTCGTGAACACAAAGCAGACCTAAAACACGGTAGGACCAACACCTCGGCCGTGGCAGATCACTGTTATAATTCAGTAGGTTCACATGACATTGACTTCTCCAAGACAGAGGTTCTTTGCAAGCCATCTGGCTACCATGAGAGATTCGTTCATTAGGCTATCTACATATACAAACACAGAGACAATTTCAACGGAGAAGATGGATTCTGGCTTAGCAATCATTGGAAGGATTTGATAAACCATTTCGGGTCTTGATTGTTCACGCTTATGGTGGCTTTCAGACAGCATCCATTAGTTTCGACTCCCCCCTCTTCTTTTCCGAACATAGATGGGCTCGTCCATCTGAACAAACTGTCAAATCGCTCTCCGTGGTGCTAACGTTAAAAATAACCGCCACTTTTTTCAAATTTTCTTGCTGTGGTTTTTCACACCTGATGATGATTGCTTGTGTTGCAGTTGAAACGTCGTGAGAATTTTATTGTTTTATATTTTTATTATTTTATTGTTCCCTTCTACGTGACTTTACCGAAAGAACCAAGAATATGAATCCCTGCAGTCACGAAAGATTTAAATCAGTAAAGCCTCTTCTTCTGTTTTGGCAAAAAGGTTCAATAGATATAACTGCTCAACCCGATCTATCAGTGCTTTGATACTTGCATTGTCTTTGTACTGTTCGCCTTTTGGTGTTCTCTGGTCTAACACAGGTGATTGCCAGAAAAATTAAAGCATATTATTACTTTTTCACCACGGCTCTGTTACACATTCCATAATTCTGTAGTGCGCGAATTATACACAGACTTGTACTTGGAGGGAACACTTTTATTTAACACAACGGGGAACTCTTTAACAGGATTGTAACATAGGGTGGTGACCACCACGGCTAACTACTCTAATACTTGCGGGCTAGTCTATCACCGGACCCGGACAACCAACGGGCTGCCTGGTCGACACGTGGAGACCGCGGATCGAGGATGGCGACTTAATTCCCAGGGCCAAACCCCGTTCCCTCCCAGGACCCCGCTTATATCTCCCCTGGCCTGGCTGGCTCCGCCCCTGGCCACGCCTCCCTTCCAGAACCCTCGTGGGGACTCTCGATCCCCACCACGTGATCCTCTCACCCCCGACTGGGACCCCCCTGCCCCCTCTCATTCGGTCACGTGTCCCCTTGGGTTCACCTCCCGGTCACGTCCTGGTGCGACCCCCTTCACAGCGACACCCGTGCTCCGCCCCTACAGTACCCACCCACACACGGCACTGTCTCTGCACCGTGGTGGCCCCCTTGAGGCCACCACAATTCCATGATGGGGAGCAGTCTCTCCAGAGCCCCATAGGATAACCCCTGGTGACGTCCCCATAAAGTGGTACCTTATTTTATTGACCCAGGAGGGGATGGTGTGCGAAATCAATTCCTGATCGACACTGAATTTTAACTCTCAACCTTCATACCAAACGTTTCGTGATGTGCCGCTCGGCCGGATGTAGCATAATCTCTCTCTGTGCCGTGATGTTCCTTCTTAAATACATTGGCGACCATGGCCTTCTTCCACCCAGCTCTGCATAAATACGTTCGCGTTTTAACTTTTAACTTTCCACAACTTTTTACACATATCCCTTCCAACGGTAATCATCACTCTTCAGGTCAACCTCCTATCGCATTGGCTCGGCTCACAAAGCGCCTAACCAATCTGTCCGCTTTGAGGAAGGGAACCACTGCCTGAAATGCCATCGAGTGCATGCGTTTCACTCCTCAAGGCAGCGTTGGCGACGAATGTGGTCGGGTTTTGTGTAAATTTTTCTTATGAGCCACTGTGCTTGTGCACCAGTACCGGTGGTGTAGGGGTTAGCGCAGGGAACGGTGGTGTAGCGGTGAGCACACCGCACTCCGAACCCGGCGACCCAAGTTCGATCTCCAATTATCTAAACTGGTCCAGGGCCTACCCTAGGTAGACTCAGCCTCAAATGATATCCCTGGTGCGGTGTGTCAAAAAATCGCCACTGGGGAGACAAAAGCGGTCGGGCATGGCGCTAGCCACCCACCCCCTCGTGTGCCGTGCCGGCCTTCATCGGTGCTACTCGCTAACAGCACTTGCCCCTAAAGTCCGTTGAGACTATATGGGTGGTGCTTTGTATTTGTGCACCAGCACCACAAGTGCTGGGCGTCATCTCGAGATGTTGTGCTCTCCGCGTGTGCTGTGGAATGGGCAGCGTGTCGGTGGAGGTGCCGGTGGGCAGCCTCGTGGCCGTGGTGGGACAGGTGGGAGCGGGGAAGTCTTCGCTCGTAGCAGCCACGCTCGGAGAGATGGAAAAGCTGCAGGGCACCGTCGCAATGAAGGTGCGGTCGACCGGCACAGGCGCACCGCGTCGACAGGACGCCGTGCCGTGTGGGCGGCACTGGGTGACTTCACAAACGATTTGCTTCGAATCTATACGGGCTGTGGCAGTGTTATGCATCGTTACGCGGGTGAAGTTAAAATAAGCAGAAATTAATATTTGTGTACGGTAAAATCAGCTTAGTGAGGAGAGAGATAAGTTCGAATAAGTAAGTGCTAGAGCTGTTTCACGAGGAGAAAAGTCTTAATTTTAACAATCCAGACAAGGCAATAGATGTGGATTAATCATGCACGCGTTCTCTCTGTACCTTGATTCACACATTAAAATGCAGATACTGTACGCTTGTGTATGGGAGTGTTGGCACAGTGGTTAGTGCAGTGCGCCACAAACCTAGGTAACCCAAGTTCGATTCCCACTCAGGGACAACATCGGTGACGAATATCTGAATTTGTCCTGGGCCTCCTCGAGGTCGACTCACCCTTAAATCAGTACCTGGTGCGGTGTGTAAACATCAGCATTGGTGAGTCAAAGGCAGTAGCCGTGATGCTGGCCACCCACTCACCTCGTGTGGTGGCTGGCCGCCCTTCACAGGTGCTACTCGCTAGCAGCACTTTACCCAATAGTCCGTCATAGGCTACACGCGGGAACGTTGTTGTTGCAGGGCTCGGTGGCGTACGTGCCGCAGCAGGCATGGATCCAGAACTGCACGCTGCAGCAGAACGTGCTGTTCGGCCTGCCGCTCGAGCCGGAGCGCTACGCACGAGTCCTCGACGCCTGCGCCCTCAGTGCCGACCTGAAGGCCCTGCCGGCCGGGGACCAGACGGAGATCGGGGAGAAGGTGAGACGCTCGCTTGTTCACTCGCGCGCTCACTCACTCACTTCTCACTTGCTCGCCCACTCGTTCACTCGCTCATTCACTCACTCATTTGCTCGCCTACTCATTCGCTCATTCACTCACTCACTTGCTCGCCCACTCGCTCGCCCACTCGTTCGCTCATTCACTCGCTCATTCACTCACTCACTCACTTGCCCGTCCACTCGTTTGCTCATTCACCCGCTCCCTCCCTCACTGCCTCACAGTTTCTTGGCCACATTCACGGTGGCTCGGAGCGACCAAACAATGCCCACGGTTGTCATCGCCGATCCGCCGAAGAACAGAAATTCTTATTCTGTCTGTTATTTTTCTCGGTTTCTGTATCTGCATGTGTGACTGAAGATCCTCTGGCGTATTTCGGAAGCATGATACTCCAGCATGTCGGCTTTTAATAGCGTTAGCATCAGAGGCAGAAACGTTCCATCTGTTGCTACTAGTTTCCCCATGACCCAACAATTACATCTGGTGGTGCATCCTTTTCAGGATTCACATGATCAACTGGATTGACAAGTAACAAACAGGGCATGAAGCATGACCAGCAGTCATAGGAACAACTATTATATAAACTAAATTATGTTTTATTTTACCAGGTAAGGCCAACTGAGCTATATAGCTCTTTTTCAGCTATATAGCTCAGTTGGCCACGAATTATAGCTCTACGAAGTGGCTTATCACATGGAAATTTACAGTAGCCAAATACTCTAAACGCATGTTGATTCGGAAGACCCGGAGAGAATCCACACGACCACAGGGAGAACATGTAAACTCCAAATATACAGGCACCAGAGTTGGGATCGAACCGATGTCCTCCTGTATACCATGCGAGGTAGTTAACATCTCGGCACTGTGGCAGCCCATTTCATCAATGCAATAGCCAACTGGAGCTCTCCCAACCGCTTGCGCGACTGTGATGCTTGTATCTCAGAGCAGAGCTCTCATTCCTTGTGCGTCTTACAAGAACTCTCTTCTTCCTGTAGGGCTCGTGTTTCTCGTTTTCTCCCGGTCCTCCGGCTTCCTCCCACATGCAAACGCTCATGAATTGGCCGATGAACACCGTTAATATGTGAGGACCGCAGAGCTTGGGCAATTCCCTGGTGCCGGCTCATCGCGTGGCCGCTGCCTTCCTGCTTGTCCGTGGTTCCTCCTCGTGCCTTGGAAACCGTTCTCTCTCTCTCTCTACGAGATTGAGCGAATACCGTGTGCGTTACAAGTTGAAATTATCATGATTATTATTATTATTGCTTGAGACCAGGGTTTCCCCAAATGTGTTGGTGCCGGGCATCCCTTAAATAAAACGCAAAGTCATCGGGCCCCCTTAAAAAGCGACGGCGTGGCCTCTAACATTGGACGCAGTTACTCGTCCCAGTCGCTTCGTTCCACGAGACATCAGCTACACAGTAGTCATGTGCAACGGTGTCAGTCACCACACGGAAGACTCGAATTGCAACCCTGGCGTATTTTCTGATCGCACCACACGCTTTCCTCGGCACGATGACGTCCGACGTTTCACTGGCTACGCGGGGAGCTTCTTCGTGAACGCCTCTTTAGTGCAACCCGACGCCACGTACGGTAGAGAGCAATTTGGCAAAACCGTGAAAACCTACACTGTAGTAAAGCAACGTACAACTTACTGCGAGCACAATAACAGCGACAGCTCCAGCCCAGCGCACCACTCTCACCGATCCACCCCTCCTGTACCGTCGCGTTAGCACCTGGGCCGCACACAGCTTCACGCTCCCTTCGGCGTCCCCTACACCCTGCAGGGAGCATCTACCCCCACCCACCCACCCTACAAGGACAAAGATCCCCCGTGTAGCCTTAACAGACTGTTGGGGCAAGTCCCGTTAGCGAGTAGCACCTATGAAGGCCGGTACGGCACGCGAGGGGGTGGGTGGCCAGCACCCCGCCCGACCGCCTTTGTCTCCCCAGTGGCGATGATTTTACACACCGCAGCAGGTCCTCATTTGACGCTGAGGTGACCTCGGGGAGGAGGCCGGGAACCGGTTCAGATAATCGTCACTGGTGTTGGCCGTGAGCGGGAATCGAAATAGGGTCATAGCGCAGTGTAGCGCTACCCGCTCCGCTATACTGCTGGCAGTCACTGGCGACTCTTGCGTCCGTCTCGGCATCTTTTCAAAAGCGATTAAAACGAACCGACCGACGCCTCTGCTGTATCGCGGCTCCCGCAGGGGATCAACCTGTCCGGGGGGCAGAAGCAGCGCGTGTCGCTGGCGCGAGCCGTCTACAGCAACGCCGACGTCTTCCTGCTGGACGACCCGCTGTCCGCCGTGGACGCGCACGTGGGGAAGCACATCTTCACGCACGTCGTCGGGCCCACCGGGATTCTCAAGGACAAGGTGGGGGAGCGCGCTCTCTCTCTCTCTCTGGGAGGGAGGCCGCGGCGAGCTGCGCTCTCAGGGAACGTAAAGACGATCTTCCCCACCCACCCAGCCACCCCTGGCTTCGCGAATTTTAAAGAGAAAAGTTGGGGGTGCGTCTTCTGGTCCGGTTGTTGTGTGTGTGTGTTCGCGTGGGGACCCAGGTTCGATTCCCGCTCACGGTCGAGACCGGTGACGATTATCTGAACCGGTCCTTGCCCTCCCCTAGGTCGACTCAGCATCAAATGAGTACCTAGTGCGGTGTGTAAACGTCACTGCTGGGGAGAGAAAACCGGTCAGGCTGTGGTGCTGGCCGCCCACTCCCTCGTGTGCCGTGCCGGCCTTCATAGGTGCTCGCTAACAGCACTTGCCCCAACGGGCTGTTAAGGCTACACAGGGGATCTTTGTCTTTGTTGTTCGTGTGTAAGGGCAATCTTTGTGTATATGTGGGGAGGCGGCCACCCACCCCGTCGTGTGCCGAGCCAGCCGTAAGAGGTGCTCGCTAGAGGCACTTGCTCCCACCAGTCTGGGAAAGACTACACGGGGGATCATTGGTTTTTCTTGTGTGACCAGATTTGTCTAACTTCATTAGCACCAGGCACAGGTTTACGGTGCGCCTTACTCTCTTTGCAAGTGCAAACGTGGCAATCTGAGCATCTTATTACTCTGGGATGAAAAAAAAAATCACGGTAGGCTTCAAGTGGCTGCTGCGCGCTTTGTGAACGCGACTCCCGGCGACTAAAGTCGGCGGTTGCCACCTGCCGCTCCGCGCCCGCCTCTTCCCGCAGACGCGCCTGCTGGTCACTCACTCGGTGAGCTTCCTGTCCATGGTGGACCAGATCGTGGTGCTGCAGGCCGGCCGGGTCTCCGAGATGGGCACCTACAAGCAACTTGTCAGCAATGGCGAAGCTTTCGCCGAGTTCCTGCGCATTTACGACTCCCAGGAGAAGGACGGGGACAAGAAAAACGCCGCCGAACTGGACACCGGTGAGTTAAAACGTTATTTTTATTTATGTTTTTTTTTATCGTATTGCATATGTAGAGGTGTTAACTACGCGCTGTTGCATAACCTGCATTGCCACCAGGGCAGTGCAGCATTACCCCTGGGTACAACGGTTGGGGTCAGTCGAGGTGAAACGGATAGTAGCCAGGGTTTGGTACGAACCAATCAGACGGTTCCACGTGGGAATGTATGATTGGTTCTACCTGGCCACGAAGGAGTATAAGACGGGTGACCCAACGGACCTCGGGGAGTTCTCTCCCTGCACGAAGACAGAAGACTGGGCTGAAGCCTAGCTAGGACCCTGGACCAGCCTCCCAGCCCTTCTAAGGGCTAAGGCTCGGCATACCCAGCGGTCAGGACCCACCGGGCCAGCGGTGGGTCAGATAGCCTCCCCTAGGTCCTAGCCGGAGGACTAGGTTAGCGGTAGACGTGCGAGTCCCGCAAAGTCCGGAGGCTGTACCTCCCTAGGGTATCGGGTGAGGGGACCGAATATCCCTCTGTCTGTGTCAAGCATTGTATAAGGAAATAATACAATAAACAGAGTGTGCCTCCTAAAGAAGTCTGCTCGTCCTTACCACACTACACATACTTGTCAACCACTTATCAGTGCCTAACTTATTAATGACCAATTTAGACCGTATTGGTCAGCTCGTGCCCGTATGAATCTCAACGTTCGTCCTACAAAGTTCCATCACAAGGGAGAAACACAAATAGACCAAATTATTTTTTTGCCCGTATTGAAAAGGCTGTATGCCGTATGGACCTGAAAACTAAATTTCCCTGTACAATAATACGGGTAAACCGTAAGGGTTGACAGGTATGGCATTGTGTGTCTTTTCAACATGGTGACGAGATGTTAACAACCTCGCTAGGTATACATGAGGTCGTGGGTTCGATCCCAAACCCGATGCTTGTATATTTTGGAGTTTTCACGTCTCTCTCTCATTGTTGCAGCGTGGATTATTCTCCGGGTTTTCCCCTCCACGTTTAGAATCAACATCACGTGTTTAGAGTATTGGCTGGTACAACACATTCGACCTTAACGTCCTTGATATTTTGTTGATAAAGCGTGCAAGGCCCTGCAGTCTTCATCATCATTTTCAGCCATGATCAATTCACTGCTGGATGAAGGCCTCCCCAAGCTGTCACCATCTATCATAGTCCCCGCACCTGAGCTGTTTTTCATCGCTCCACAGTGACGAGTCTCTCATGTTCCCTCCTTCTTTGGCTGCAGTCGCATCATAAGTCTCAACCGCCGGCCATCACCTGTTCTCGTGATGTGTCCTCACTCAAAACTCGCCTTCTTTCTTTCAGCGCTCCATACGACGATGCACCTACTTGCGTACGTTCTCTGATCCGTGGGTTCCTCTCTGTCTCTAACGGTGCAGATGGTCACTTTCAGACACGCTTCTGCGGCCGCCTGAAACGCCCTTCCGATATTAGGCAGCCGCTGGAGCTGTGCACTTTTACATCATCTAGTTTGAAAACTAATTTCTTCAAAACTGCTTATTGTGTTTAGTTTGTTGTACTTCCCCCGCACCTCCGATTAGCATGGCTGGCTACATACGGTGTGAAAGAAGTTCGACATATATGCACACACTTGAATTCCCATGCGTGTGTAGTGAGTCCAACTGAGTCGCAGTAACTCAACATAACATAACACAACCTACACATGGGTGTTGAATGCCCATCTAGCCACGCTATGGCAGAACTAGACACGGTTCGCTATCCCGGCCTGTACCACAAGCTGGGTCCCGGACCGCGTGGCTAGAAGCTTCTTTTACCCGACATAGATCTTCATCACCAGCAACACGAAGAACCTCGAGCCCCTCACGGGGGCCCCCGTTATATCGGTCTGGGCTGGGACTGGCTCCGCCCCTCATCCCGCCCACCTTCTAGATCTCTCGAGCTCTTTCCCGAAGGCTCCCGAGAGCTCCTTTATACCACGTGACCGCCCAGCGGCCCCCGTCCATCAGTGGCCCCCCTCCAATATCATCCGGTCACGTGTCGGCAGGTCAACCAGCGTATCACTCCCCAACGTAGCCCTGGCTGGCTGACGCTCCCTCTGGCTCCCTCACCGGGAGCCCGCACTGCACACTGTACGTGGTGCCTCCGCGCTGACCAGCGCTCACCCAAGCCCCGCTAGGGCTCGTACTACACCCAGTAAGCAGGCTACACATAACGCCAACACATTATCCGCCGTGGCTTCGTAAGCCCGGCACCACACAGTGACAATCACAGTCACTACACTTGCATGCGCAACTCCACGCGTCTTTTTGCACTTGTCAGCTTTTATTCCATTTCAAAGGGAGTCCGCACAACACGGTCGTCCAATAAGTCAGGGCTTTATTTTAAATCCCTCACTCTCTTCAAGAGTGCCAGGCACACGTTATACGCCCTTTGCATTCCTTCTCGACAGATCTTTCTGGAACCTTCCAGAAGGTTCCTCTAAACTCCTCCGTCTCCTCCTTCCCACCAATCCCTGCCTCCCTGGCCTCTCTGCCTCTTACTCTCTCCCAGCTATTTTGCACCAAATCTCTCCTCAAATTCCTCAGCCTATCCCCTGCTTTCTTTTTCCCAGCTGCTTCCCACTGCCTTCTCTTTCTTAATTAATTGATTTAGGGTGTAACTCTGGACCCTCATATAACCCCAATGTCCCCATGTTATTGATCTACCCCAGTGGTTATTCATTGCAAGGCCACCACGGGCCACTGGCAGCTCGCTGGTGGCCTTTAGTGCGGCCTCTGTCGTGCGTCCCTCCGCCCCCCCCCCCCATGTGACAATACACAAATATTGAAAACACCTACCGCCCCCCCCCCCCCCCCCCCATCATCATCATGCTGCCAATCCCCCAATGGTTTAAAATGTGGCGGCCCCTGACACTGATGATGTCCTATCGGCGAAAGTGCCCCCCCCCCCCTTTGCCGCCCCACCCCCATTCTGAAAATGAGTGAAGAACAAACTGGTCTATCCCGTCCGCCCCTCTCCCGTTCCCTCTGATCTCAGTGATCACGACGCTGGTGGACATCGCAGACGAGCTGGACCCGGAGCCCCAGGGTGACGACGCGTATGAGGACAGCGTGAGCAGCACCTTCCGGCAAGAGCGCAGCATGCGGCTTCGGGGCAGCACCAGCAGCAAAAGGTGACGGACCCTTCCCCACCCCGCCGCCCCCACCTCACCCCGCCACACCCCCACCTCGCCCCCCCCACCCCGCTTCGAGAAGTTCCTTCTTTGTCTCCCGCAACTTTTTTTTTTATCTCTTATCACTTTATTGCTCATCACTTTACCTCATCACTTTATCTCATCACATTCTCATCACTTTATTTCATAATTTTCTCGCATCACATTCTCTCTCATCACTTTAGCTCATCACTTTCTCTCTCATCACTTTAGCTCATCACTTTCTCTCTCATCACTTTAGCTCATCACATTCTCTCTCATCACTTTAGCTCATCACATTCTCTCTCATCACTTTAGCTCATCACTTTCTCTCTCATCACTTTAGCTCATCACTTTCTCTCTCATCACTTTACCTCATCACTTTATCTCATCACATTGTCATCACTTTATTTCATAATTTTCTCGCATCACATTCTCTCTCATCACTTTAGCTCATCACTTTCTCTCTCATCACTTTAGCTCATCACTTTCTCTCTCATCACTTTAGCTCATCACTTTCTCTCTCATCACTTTAGCTCATCACTTTCTCTCTCATCACTTTAGCTCATCACTTTCTCTCTCATCACTTTAGCTCATCACTTTCTCTCTCATCACTTTAGCTCATCACTTTCTCTCTCATCACTTTAGCTCATCACTTTCTCTCTCATCACTTTAGCTCATCACATTCTTTCTTTCTCTCATTCAATGCAGTCGCTCCTTGGTAGGCGCCGCCACTATTTTATTACGAACACCGCCACTTTTATTACAAGCATCGCCACTATTTTATTACGAACATTGCCACTTTTATTACGAGCATTGCCACTATTTTATTACGAACATTGCCACTATTTTATTACGAGCATTGCCACTATTTTATTACAAGCATTGCCACTATTTTATTACGAACACCGCCACTTTTATTACAAGCATTGCCACTATTTTATTACGAGCATTGCCACTCTTTTATTACAAGCATTGCCACTATTTTATTATGAACATTGCTATTTCATTACGAACACCGCCACTTTTATTACAAGCATTGCCGCTATTTTATTACGAACATTGCCACTCTTTTATTACAAGCATTGCCACTATTTTATTATGAACATTGCCATTTTATTACGAACACCGCCACTTTTATTACAAGCATTGCCACTATTTTATTACGACCACCGCCACTATTTTATAGCTGTTTAGCTAAACAGGTCATCTCCAGCTGAAATAATAAAGTCTCGAGTCTGAGCGATGCTCCTTCCATCTGGAACTCTATTCCAAGTCGTGTCCAGGAAAGCTTCTGGCACGATACAATTTGCTGCATCAATGATAAAATGTAATTTGTTTGAGTTATTTTAATTTGAGCTGGATTTATTGTGCAATGGCTTTTTGAGCACCTTCCTATTGTGAAGCACCCTGGGATGTAAATGCAAATTGTATCGCTACGGTCGGTATGAATGTTGAACTTCCGCACCGTACGTAGCCAATCGTGCTATGCGGAGGTGCGGGGTATCTCTGTGACCATATCCAGCACGTATTGTCGTTTCGCAAATACTCTTGAGTATTTTCCGAGGCTCGTTTTCGACATTTAATTTCCACTGAGGTTGTAAAACAATTTTGGGTGGAATGGCGTAGTCCTGTGGGGTAGCGCATTGCACTTCAGAACTCAGCACCCCTGAGTTAATTCCTCCCGCTGTGGGTCACGTGATAGTTCTATCTTAACCGGTCCGTGGCTGTCCAATTGATCAGCATGGTGAAGTATGGTCAAACAACTGCCATGACCAACACGCGGCAAGGGGAGGTCTTCATCCAGTAGTGGCTTGATGAACAGTTGTAAATTATTATAACTGACATCAGCTTAGATCCGAAAGCTTTTGCACACTGTCCACCGGTATCTGAACGTTTTTGGCGAGACACGCGGCACATGTTTACGTAGAATTTGCTTGCCTTATTAATGTTGTTCCTGTTCATTGTGTTTTTCTGGCGTGAATCTAGACGGAGCCACAAGAAACACTTTGCGAGGAAACAGATGAGCGGAGAGACAGCACTGCCTGGGAAGGCGCAAGATGATAAGGCGCAGAAACTGATTGAAAAGGAAGGCGTGGAGACTGGAAATGTACGTACGCCTTACGAGGACTAGCTTGCACTTCATATTCAGGAGCCAATTCAATCTCGTGCCCCCTTCATCGTGGCTTGTAAGATCTGCCGACGGTGCCCTTCTATGTATACCTCGATCTCGGCTACATTCTTGGGGTGATCGAGAGCATATTGTGGTGGTTCCCAGTTGTGGAACTCCCTACCGGTGCCCCCCCCCACCCCCTGATTGTACAAATAATCTGTTTACATTATGATTGCTCTTGGTTACTCAGAGAACGCCTCGTGTGTTCCCATGTTGGCGTGCAGGTCACGTGGTCCGTGTACATGCAGTACATACATGTGGTGTGTGTGTGTGTGTGTCCGTGTTGGTGTGTAGGTAAAGTGGTCCGTGTACATGCAGTACATGCATGTGGTGTGTGTGTGTGTCTATGTTTGGTGTGCAGGTCAAGTGGTCCGTGTACATGCAGTATATACATGTGGTGTGTGTGTGTGTCCGTGTTGGTGTGCAGGTCAAGTGGTCCGTGTACATGCAGTACATACATGTGGTGTGTGTGTGTGTGTCCATGTTGGTGTGTAGGTAAAGTGGTCCGTGTACATGCAGTACATACATGTGGTGTGTGTGTGTGTGTCCGTGTTGGTGTGTAGGTCAAGTGGTCAGTGTACATGCAGTACATACATGTGGTGTGTGTGTGTGTTGGTGTGCAGGTCCAGTGGTCCGTGTACATGCAGTACATACATGTGGTGTGTGTGTGTCTATGTTTGGTGTGCAGGCTAAGTGGTCCGTGTACATGCAGTACATACATGTGGTGTGTGTCCGTGTTGGTGTGCAGGTCAAGTGGTCCGTGTACATGCAGTACATACATGTGGTGTGTGTGTTCCCATGTTGTCGTGCAGGTCACGTGGTCCGTATACATGCAGTACATACATGTGGTGTGTGTGTGTGTGTTGGCGTGCAGGTCAAGTGGTCCGTGTACATGCAGTACATACATGTGGTGTGTGTGTGTGTGTTCCCATGTTGGCGTGCAGGTCAAGTGGTCCGTGTACATGCAGTACATACATGTGGTGTGTGTGTGTGTTGGCGTGCAGGTCAAGTGGTCCGTGTACATGCAGTACATACATGTGTTGTGTGTCCGTGTTGGCGTGCAGGTCAAGTGGTCCGTGTACATGCAGTACATACATGTGGTGTGTGTGTGTGTTGATGTGCAGGTCAAGTGGTCCGTGTACATGCAGTACATACATGTGGTGTGTGTGTGTGTTGGTGTGCAGGTCAAGTGGTCCGTGTACATGCAGTACATGCGCTCCACAGGCCTCTTCTACTCGTTCCTCATCTTCATGGGAAACCTCCTGCAGAACGCGGCCGTCATCGGCCAGAACTTCTGGCTCAGCGACTGGACCATCGACGCGACCAGCTTCCCCAACGTCACCTACGGCAACGATATGCGCCTGGGCGTCTACGGAGCGCTGGGGGTGGTTCAAGGTAAAGGCTTTAAAACCCGAGCGAGCGTCATAGCGTCGCCGCTGACGCCAGGGGTGTGCGCCACGCATCCTCCGAGACTTGTAATTCTTGGCAAAATGCATCCGTGGCTTTATCAACGGATAAAGGAAGGAGCGTCCCAGAAGTAGCGGCCGGGTGGCCGGTGGTGGCCTTGCTGCGCGTGGCCTGTCACCCAGCGCCGCGGGAGGCAGCGGCGAGCGTTGGTGGATGTGCACGAACGTTGCAACATTTATTTCTCGTCGATGTCAAGGTGCCGTAACCCTGGCTCTCCAGGAGAAAGCAGTACAGCAAAGATGTGGACTTTGCTTACTGTATGGGATAGAGTGTTCCCCCTCGCACGCGTGGGTTTTTCCCCAGGTGCTTCGGTTTCCTCCCGTAAGTAAACTCATTAATTAGCCGATAACACCTTCATATATATAGGACCATAGAGCTTGGGCAATTGCAGGTGCTGGCTTACTATGTGACTGCTGCCTTCCCGCTCGTCTGTGGATCCTCCGTGCGCCTCCGGGTTGTTCTCTCTCTTCTTCGAGAGCAAGCGAATACTGCGTGCCTTACAAGGTGACATCATTATTATTGTGATTCTATACAAGTCCATACGTTTATTATTCTTGCTTTGAATACTTTCACGAAACTGGACGGATTTGCTCCTCGCACCAAAATTTGAAAGACATGCCACTGTGGAAGCTTGTGTTCAATAACACGGAATATTAAACCTTTTGATAATTCTTGACACTTATATGCATTTTATATTTAGTATTAATAATATCGTGTAACTTGAATAAGGATAATATCTGCAAAATGCATAAAATCCTGGGGGGAAAATCGCAAAAACTGCAGATAAATCTTGGAATTCACATTCCCCACCCGATTTGACGACCTGTGACAACTTTTTATTTTGGTTTTAAAACAATAATCTGCGAGGGAAAGCGAATTCCAAGTGACACTGAAGCGGTATGCTACAAGTGAGTGGCTTTAGCAGCAAAAGGAGAGAGAATAATGTCGAGCAGAGATTGAAAGCCTTGGAAATGCATTCCACTTCAAGGGAAATTAATTTTTAAAAAAATTATACACGTTGTTATCAAGCTTTGTCATTGCTTTTCCATGCCAGGCCGCAAACTTAGCAATGGATAATTATTGCGTCAAATGTATTCGCCGAATGCTTTTACACTTGACTTTTACACAGTTAGAGCACCACACACGCAATACAAATCAATAGAGGAGCCATGTGACAGCCTCCTTCTCCAGCACGTGCAGGGCAACAACCAGTCACGCCTGACATGCCCTGACGCACTTCACAGCCGGAGACGATGGGGCGCCATCGTCAGCTGCTCCCCGCATTCACACAGTGGGACTGTCGTGTAGTAGTAGCTGTACGATGCCCCATCGATGTGCGGAAGCGGCCCATACTCCCTGGTCACTCCGGAAGCGGTTCAACCACTTATTTATTTGGCGTCGTGGCATTTCTGGTGCCTTGGGAGGTCGAAACCAGGCATCTGGACAGACGCATCACTGACGAGGTCGTTGTTGGCCACATCCACGCATCTCCATTCCTCGCCCCAGGCAGTGCGGGTATCCCGTATTGCGTTCGATAAAATGCACGCTTTCCCAAGTTCAATTCCTGGCCACGGCGAACACCAGCCGGTGAGTGATCTATGAGGCATGTCCTGGGCCAACCCCTTCACGCACCGACAGTGACTCCTGTGTGGTGAAGTATGGCCAAACACCCCTGATGACCGACGAGGCTCGGGGGAGACCAGCAGATACGTGGATTGATTGATTGATGCAGGGCTGCACATTATAACGCACGACATCCAAACGCAACGGGCTGCTGTTATTTTTATTCTTTTTCCCAATATAACAAACAAACACCCCCGCCCATTCGCCATTTGCCGCCCAGGCCTCTTCGTCTTCCTGGCCGCGTTCATCACCGCCAAGGGCACGATCGAGGCTTCGCGAGTGCTCCACCACGACCTGCTGGGCAACATGCTGCGCGCCCCCATGGCGTTCTTCGACACCACTCCCATCGGCCGCATCGTCAACCGCTTCGCCAAGGTGCTCGCCGCCGTCCTTACCCCCCGCCCCTTACTGGACATTTCTGGAAGAAAAAAAGAGCTTCACTGCTCATCAGATTCCTCCGGTGTGAATAAAATATTCTGATACTGTCCCATGTGCTCTCCACGACGCCAAATAAATAAGTGTACGTCTATAGAGTCAGGGTGCGATGAGAGATAAAGTGATGAGAGATAAAGCGATGAGATATAAACCCTCTCCTTACGTTCGTTCACCTTCCGCAAGATCCGCTCATCTCACTTCCCTGGTGGGGATGCTGCCGTGGTGTTTGTCGTGGGTTAGCGCACCGGACTTTGCCCGCCTTTCACGTGTGCCCAATGGTACGGTCTGCCCTAATGGTGTCTGTACGGAGACACGTGAGTGGCATCGTAGGCTGGGCAATTTGCTCAAGACGCTCGAGCGCTAGGGTATGCTGCCCTGGTGTAATGGTTGGCACACCGGACTTATAATCCGGTGATCACCGGTTCAATTCCATCTCCCGGCACGGCAGTTGAAACAAGAGTGCAAGCTTTTCAAATCCCATCACCCCCACCACCCCAGTTGCTTCTTTCCCCACAACAGCATTAACAACATAGAGAGTACACCACAGTTAATTGATCCGCAGGTAGCGTGTTGTGGGGCAAAGACGTCTGGCATTGCGTGGGCAACTAATTCAGATAACCCTCTTGGAGGCCCCTTCCTATAGACTTTTTTTATTTTACCAGGTAACGCCCACTGAGCTACATAGCTCTTTTTCAGAAGCGACCTGGCCACAATTATAGCTCAACGAAGTGGCTCATCATCGTGTGGAAATTTACAGGAATCAAACGCTCCGAACGCACGTTGATTCTAAATGTGGAGGGGGAAAACTTCGAGAAAAATCCACACGACCACGCGGAGGGAGACATGCAAACTCCAAATATACCACAGACGTCAGGGTCGATGATGGAACCCACGACCTCCTGCGTACCGGGCGAGGGAGTTAACATCCTCGCCACCTCGGCGAGGATGATAACTCTGCTGGCAGGCAGGGCTTCGCCTTCGCCTTTTTCCTTCACCTTTTCCCGTGACTTCCCACGCAGGACATCAACACGATCGACGACACCTTACCCATGTCGTTCCGCTCGTGGATCGCGTGCGCGTTCGGCGTCCTCAGCACCGTCCTCGTCATCTGCATCGCGACGCCCCTCTTCGCCGCCGTCATCGTGCCCATCGCCATCTTCTACTTCTTCGTGCAGGTGCCTACTCGCTCGACGCGTTTCCGTCGGTGCGGCGAGCGGGCGGGCGGCACGGCGCGGCGTCAACGCGCTCCGCAACGGGAGGAGTTTGGGGGGGGGTGGTGGTTCTATTGTGTGCGGGGGTGAGAGCTAAATGGTCACGTCTGGATTCAGATCAACGACGTCCATTTCGCCTATATACAATCTGTTCTCCTGTAACGCGGCGGTAGTTGGGTTCCCGAAGAACGCCGCATTATGGGAAAGTTACGTTATGATAAATAATGTAGCGTAAAGCGCAGTCCGCGATAACACGCGAGATGCGTATGCAGTCTAAACAAAGACCGAGGCGCGTGGGTAGCATATAGAAGCATCCAGCAGCATCCCGCCTTGTACGATGCTACGCTATGAGGCAGCCGTACAACCGCTTATTCCTACTCGCACGACGTAGTTCAGTTCACTCGATCGCGTTCTATCAAATTCGCGTTATAGAAATGTGTTCTCTAATACATTCATGGCGTTATATCCAATTCTCGTAATGAAAAGAACAGACTGCAGACGACGGTATTAGTCGTGTTTAAGGTGACACGACAACACCCGAGAAGGGGGCTACCGTCTGCCACCCTTGGCGGTGGTTACGCTCGCGCTCGTGACTTATCGACAAGTTCCGAGGAAGCTTCGTAAGAGACTAAAACCGGTACAGCAGTGCAGTCTTCCCTTGTTATTCACGGACTTGCTATCTGCGGTTTTGGCTATCCACGAATCGCATCTGGAACTCTACACGACTGCATCGATAAAGTGATGAGATAAAGTTACGAGGTGTAAAGTTACGAGATATAAAGTGATGAGAGATAAAGTGATGAGAGATAAAGTGATGAGAGATAAAGCGATGAGAGATAAAGCGATGAGAGATAAAGTGATGAGAGATAAAGTGATGAGAGATAAAGTGATGAGAGATAAAGTGATGAGAGATAAAGCGATGAGAGATAAAGCGATGAGAGATAAAGTGATGAGAGATAAAGCGATGAGAGATAAAGCGATGAGAGATAAAGTGATGAGAGATTAAGCGATGAGAGATAAAGCGATGAGAGGTACAGTGATGAAAGATAAAGTGATGAGAGATAAAGTTTATTTACGTAATTATATAAGGCAATTCATGAAAAAGATAGGTTTTCATCGCCCAATATCATTACCCGCGAAATTTGGTATTCACGAGCATAACTGGAACGTGTCCCTCGTGCATATTGAGCTAACACTCTACGTCAATGCTTTCATTGAATAAATGCTCAGCGTTGGTAGGGTTTGAACACGCGAGTACGTGCGTGCGTGCGTGCTCGAAATCTAAAGGCGTTTGCCTGTCGCGTGTCCCTTTCATGCCGTCCCCATCTCCCCTCCTCCTCCACCGGCAGCGCTTTTACGTGAGCACGTCGCGCCAGCTCCGACGCCTGGACTCGGTGACGCGCTCGCCCATTTACTCGCACTTCGGGGAGACGGTGCAGGGCCTGAGCGTGATCCGGGCCTACGGGCACTTGCCTCGCTTCCTCGCGCACAACGTCAAAATCGTGGACGTCAACCAAGTGTGCGTCTTCCCCTGGATCGTGTCCAATCGGTGAGTGGCCTGGGCGGTCTTCCTTGGGTCCTGCGGCGTTGCTTTGGTCACGAATTCTACGCGTGCCGCCCGTGGAGCGACCGGTCGAGCAAATTTGCGCATGGGAAGAAACCGGAGCTCTTGCAGAAAAAAATTATGCCGATGAGAGGGAAGTTTTTTTTTACCTACGTGACTTTACCGAATAGAACCAAAGAGTATGGATCCTTGCAGTCACGAAAGCTTCAAAGCTAGAAGAGAGGGTAGCTGCCTGATCGGTAGAGAGATATTGCAAATCGGCGGCTGACCTGCTACGCTGCCTACTGAGGGGGAACCTAACCACGCCTGCAAGTGACTCCTGCCTCCAAAGTGATGCATTATAGGCGTGCACATTGTTTCACAGTAATCTAATGTGGAGGTAATCTAACGATTACTGTCGCGAGGTTTTTAGTCTTTGCAAACATCTAAATCGGGTTCAATAAACGTTTTTGATGCATACCACATATTGAAATAAAAAAAAACTGTTAATGTATGAAAGTGTCCAAAGACAGAAAGATCTCAAGTTGCTAAACAGGAGCGGGGGGGGATGTAAATGGTGACGAAACAGATAATTTCGATGTTGAAAAAGATAGGCTGTAGTGCATTGTGGGTAGCTTAGATGACATTAGATGGGGGGGGGGGGGGGACAATAAATAGCAGAATAGACGAAAAGTTTGAATAAAGACTTCAACAGGTGCATGGAATCGGAATTGCAGAGAAGGCGTGGCTACTGGAGCAGATGGGGATGGAAAGAGTGGTAGAGCACAATGGGAGGAGAGAGGTAGGCGTACGATACAGTTTACACTATGAGCAATGCATTATTATTTTTACCATACACTTTCGATGGCGTGTATTTATCCACAGAGAGCAGAAAAGTGAAATGTCAGAATGATAATCTTTTAGAATTTTTATCCTGGAAAAATACGATGAGCTGTGAAGCTCTTTTTCCCAGATGTCCAGGAGGAATGTTTTGTCAGTTGCCCTGACGGCTCTTGCTGAATACCAGCAAAAGCATTATCTTGTTCTACCGTGTGGTAGTGGCTATGCACGTGGTCTACAATCCAGCACTGTGGAGGTGAGGGTTGGTGGATCACGCACATTTTGCGAAACTCCTTTCCCATGGGCGCCGAGGAGGAGCCACACCCCGGCTCGCCACGAGGTGGTACAGCAAAAATGTGGAGTCCACTTGTTCCATCTGCATGGGATGGAGTGTTTCCCCCCTCGCACGCGTGGGGTTTGTTTAGTTGCTCTGGTTTTGTGCCACATGTGAACACTCATTAATTGGCCAAATAACACCTTAGTTTATAGGGGATCGCAGAGCTTGGGATATTATTGTTGCCGCCGAATCACCGTATGGCTGCCTTGTATGTATGTTTAACTTCTTTCGCATTGTATGCAGGCAACCGTGCTAATTGGAGGTGCGGGGAAGGATAACAAACTAAAGACAAAAAGCAATTCTAAAGGGATGAGTTCCTGCTTATCAGCAGTTCCTTGTGCCGACGAGTCGTTCTCTTATCAATGAGAGTGCAGCGTATGGAATACGAATTTCAGCTATGGAATTCGTATTCCATACGCTGTGATCACATGAATCAACGCCTCGATGTGTGCTGCAGGTGGCTGGCTATCCGCCTCGAGTTCACGGGAAACCTGGTCGTCTTCTTTGCCGCGCTGTTCGCGGTCCTGGCGCGGGGTACAACAGCCGGCGGGGTTGTGGGCCTGTCAATCTCCTACGCCCTCAACGTGAGCAACACCCCCCCCCCCCGCCCCCGGCACCGCTTGGCTCATTAAAGACACCCCGGCGTGTTTCCCACCAGTTTTGACCTTCCCGTTGCCGGACACTTTGTACTTTCCCTTGCCGTGAGGCGCAGAACTTATGACCGCTGCTGACGAGCCGGTGAGCTGCAGGCACGGTAGGAAGCAGCCCTTCGCGCGAGAGATTGTGCAGCAGCAGTTTAACAGAGTGCTTGGTGTTTGCAACGTTAGGGAGTGTGATAGGGGCTTCTAATGTGGGGAACGAATGGTTATTGTGACGATGCCCTGGGGACCAACAGGTTTAACGGGCCTCGTGGTACTTAAGATATATTGGGTCCTCTCGCCCCAGATTAATTATATATCAGTGTGTGCCTCATAGAGTGGGATCGATGAACTTGCTTTTGTCCAGTTCTAGTTCTCATTGGGCCTGTGTCTGATTACATCAACAGCCACCCGCCTAGTCACAGTTTGATTGTGGCCATGCAACACAAACTGTGGACCATACAGCAAACTACTGTAGTCTGCCCTCCTTCAGTGGAGGAGTGGTAAAACTATAAAAAAAAAATATCTGAAGTCCTCTCGCTGCGGTGAGCGGACCTCAACATTGACATTTAGCTGTTGAACGTATTGCTGCCATAGGCAAGAATAGAACAAGGCACCCGTGAGTTTGCTCCCTGGCTGTGAATTTTCAAGCTCAGGTTCTTGTTTGTCACGTGACAATTTCATCAATCGGCCGTGTCGGGTGGAGGAGGGTGTACGACACACATTTTACTTACGTGAATAATAATTTAAATCACTAAAGGCCGCTACATGTGTTCAACGCGCAAATATCACGGGGGGGAGGGGGGGGGGTGGGATCCTGACAAGATGACATTTTTGTGACGGGCGATCCGGGCGCGTGGCTTTGACGTGGAGCGCAGGTGACGCAGACCCTCAATTGGCTCGTGCGGCAGACGTGCGAGCTGGAGACCAACGTGGTGGCGGTGGAGCGAGTGAGCGAGTACACGGAGATCGACCGCGAGGTGAGGGCTGCTCCTGCAGCAGGGCAGTGCAGCCGCTCACTTATCCACACAAAGACAAAGATCCCCCGTATCGTCTGAACAGACTGTTGGGGCATTTGAGGCTGAGTCGACCTCGGGGGGAGGCCCATGATCGTGTCAGATGATCATCGCTGTTGTTCGTCGTGAGTGGGAATCGAACTCGGGCCGCCGGGTTCGTAGCGCAATCGCGCTGACCGCTACAGTGCCGCTCCCCGCTGTTCACACACACACACGCACGCAGCATGGACGTGCGCACACAGTCCGGCGATGCACATGCGACTCGCCGTGCGCCGGGGTACAGGCGGAGATGTGAAAAGGTCAGATGAGCGAACATTAATGGAAAATGACAGTCACACACCGTGCACAAACACTGCACTGGATGTGGGTGGATAGTTGGTCAGGGCGGTCAGATTATGCCACTTACTGTGATTGGTAATGCGAATTTAACGGAAGATAATCTTAGGTTTCTGCGGATATTCAGTGGGGGACAGAACTGAGTTGAGCTACAGGTTACCACGATGAGTTCTAGAGAGGGGGCGTCAGAGGGCAAACCGGTGAGCGGAGTGGTTCAGTGGAATTAGACGTTTCAAGGTAGATTCAGAAGCTAGGCTGTAGATGGTGTCGTAATAATCAAATATGAGCAGAGTGGTGGCTTTAACTATATTCAGACGGGTAGTCGAGGTGGAATGCAATGCTTGTTTCTTTATCGGAATCCAATATTGTTTTTTTATCTCGTTGTGTCATGTGGTCAACGTGGGTATTGGAACACAGTTTTGAGTCCAGGTCAACGTCTATATATTTAAGGTTGTCAACCTCCCCAATATGCATGGTGTGGCGAGACAGGCTTGGGCTAGCCGGAGAATAACCTTTTGTGAGCATTGAGGACCAGATTTATGGCAGATGCAAAGGAAGTCAATTTGTATTTTTAATTGGCCACAATGCAGTTCAACCACGACGTCGTGAAACCTGAACCAGTGTCTCCTCAACCGCTGTTGTGCCGGGAGCGTGCAGGCGGCGTGGGAGACGGAGACACGGCCCCCGAGCGAGTGGCCGGACCGTGGCCAGGTGGAGTTCGTGGACTACAGCACGCGCTACCGCCCCGAGCTGGAGCTCGTGCTCAAGGGCATCAGCTTCAGCATCCAGCCTGGGGAGAAGGTGCCCTGCACACAAAGATGGAAACAAAGACAAAGATCCACGCCCCCCCCCCCCCTCCCCCCGTGTAGCCTTAACAGACTGTTGTGGCAAGAGCCGTTAGTGATACACCTATGAAGGCCGGCATGGCACATGAGGGGGTGAATGGTCAGCATCACGCCCAGCCACCTTTGTATGTCCCCCCCCCACCCCACCGTGATTGAGATGACTGACAGATGCACCACCTTTACCCCCATTCTGCCAATTTGCTGCATTCTAGCTGCCCGGTGATCCACTCGTTGTTGTGAGTGTGGCTTCTCATCCCTCTGTTGTTGTTGGAGGGGACTTCCTCAAACTGCCCAGTAGCGTCCTTCAGGAGCCTCTTCCATAGAGGCCAAACTTAACATTGCTGGTGATAGTCATTGGCAATTTCACTCAGAGCCACATCCTCTTCTCTAGCCCATGCTGCGTCCGTTCATCCCCCTCTGCCTGGCCAAACAAAAGCTGCTGGGGCATGTGGGCTACAGGACTCAGCCAACATAGCCTTGCCTGCTGGAGAAGATCACTAATGGAAGTGTCCATATCTGTCAAAGATCTTTGAGCTCCTCATACAAACTAGCCTGGTTAAATCCAGAATGGATCGTAGGCAGGCCAGCGTGACTGTTTCAAACCGGCGCATATGTTCCTTCATTGGGACCAATTTTTGGAAGCATAGTGAAGGGAGGGCATGATTGTGGCCATGAAAACCTGGAGCTTCGTATTGAGCGACAGGCCAAGCAGCTTTAATACAGAGTTACACACCTGATGAAAATATAATACTGCTCAACTGAATTGGAGTAAGACAATCTGCTGGAAACTTCTCCGATCTCTCCACAACTGCCGACACACACTCACTCACATAACAGCAACCAACTCTGATTTGCCACTAAGTGGCAGTGACGCCACCACAGCCCTTGTACCCAGGCTACGTGCACTTTGAAGCCACGTGAAGTGTGGAAAGCTTGCTGACAGGAGATCATGGGACAGACCCAGGCGTTACTGGTTGACCAAGATTATTGACAGCTGACACTCACGCTCACAGCTGGAGCACTTCACTCTGTGAAGGTTCATCTGACTTTGAATGTTTCCTTTAAATTTTCTTTGCTCTTTTTTTCCATTCCACGTGCTTTGATCCACGTGCGGCATGCGCATGGTGCACAATGTCATTCAATCTTCAATCAATCAAGCATACCGCAGGTGACTGCCCAATACACCACACATATCCTGGTGGTGTATTGGGCATACCACAGATAACAAGCAGCCTCGATTCAGCTACCATCCCAGATGCATTGGAATATCTTATAAAATAAAATATACAATGGTAGCCTGCTGCTTTTTCAAACAAGAATTTGTGGTACCCTTTATCTATCCAATAGATTAAATAAACTCATTGAAATACGCGAAACGATGTTGCCTCTCTTGCGAGGATCTTTCATATGGCTGATGTAGATGCAGAGCAACAACTACAATTTCACATTGAGGTGGTCAAGCCAGACAACCGCGTCAGGAGGAGTGGAGTGTTATCGCTGTGATGTCTCCTTCGTATATTTGTGGATCGGGCATTTCGTCGTTATATGTTGTACGGTCTGTTCTGAATGAGCACAGTCGCACACTGGAGAGTTTATTTTTCCATTCGTGCATCAGGTATTCGCATCTGCCATGGTTTGTGCAGTGGATACGATTTAGGGTGGACTATGAGCTTCGTGGAAGATCAAATCCAAGGGATCTTCTGCATTGGGTCTTTCACAAGGTGTTTGTGAGTTCTTTTGACCTCCATTCAGCTCTCCAAACTTAATGGGGGTTGATATCGCATCGTGGAAGGTTAAGCGCATGGGTCCAGAAGGGCTTATGCGACTTCAAGTGATGACGGAGGGACATTATTGAGGTCCTGGTGAATGGGAAGACGACAGTTTTCCTTGATTCGAGGGACAACCAATAGGGTTTCATCGTCGCGGCCGATGGCTAGCGGGGTGGGGGGGGGGATGAATTTTTTGACAGCACGGGAAGCCAGGGCGTTGGGGTCGCCTTGCGAGCGTGGCGTGGGTTAACGCGTCGATGTCCCGGCGCGCGTGCGCTGAGTATCACAGGTGGGCATCGTGGGGCGCACGGGCGCGGGGAAGTCGTCTCTCACCAGCTGCCTCTTCCGCATGATGGAGGCGGCCGGCGGCTCCATCCGCATCGACGGCATCGACATCGCCCCCATCGGCCTGCACGACCTGCGCTCCAAGCTCACCATCATCCCGCAGGTGATCGACAGGGGGGGGGAGGCGCGGACACTTGACAGCCGTGGGTTGTCCGGACATCGCCCAACATCTTTAGATTACACACTTTTTGGTTCTTTCGGTAAAGTCACGTAGGTAGCAAAAAATAAAACAAAATAAAAATATATCACGACGTTTCGATGGCAACACAAGCGTGATATATTATTTTTATTTTGTTTTATTTTTCTACCTACGTGACTTTACCGAAAGAACCAAAGAGGATGGATTCCTGCAGTCACGAAAGCTTCAAATCAAGATCTTTAGATTACACCCACAAAATCTTGTGCCCCTGGTCAGCACAACACACACACATTGACAGAGTCAAAATAAGACAAAGATCCCCCCGGTGTAGCCTCTTAACAGACCATTGGGGCAAGTGCTGTGAGCAAGAGCACCTTTGAAGGCAAGCACGGCACACGAGTCGGTGGGTGGCCAGCACCATGCCTGGCCACATTGCACCAAGTACTTTTTTTCAGACTGCATATACCAAGGTGAGGCCCAGGACTGCTTCAGATATCCTTTGTTAACGTTGTTGGTCATGAACGGGAATCAAACTCAGGTCACTAGGTTCGTAGATAAACGCACGAACCACAATACTGACCATTACACTACCGCTCCCCACAGCACACACACGGGAAATTTTCTTAAATCCCCATGTGCACCAAATAATAGAAATGGGAACACCAGAGTTGGTGGACCATCAGATCGCGTGTGGTGCGGTAAAGTGGGGGGGGGGGGGGGGGGGGGGCGGAAATCCAACTATTTGCAAGACTTTGGACCAGTGTGGAAGAGTAGGCCAAATATCCCCCTGAAAGGGATCTCTTGTTTACTAAACTAATCAATTTTTATTTTGCCAGGTAAGTCGCACTGAGCTACGTAGCTCTTTTTCACAAACGACCTGGCCCGCAAATCATAGCCCGATGAAGTGGAAACGTATAGCAGCCAAATACTCTAAGAGCATGTTTATAAACGTGGAGGGGAAAACCAGTGGACTCGGAGAACAATCCACGCGACGATAGGGAGAACATAAAAAAAAAACTCCAAATATACAGCAGCAGGTATCAGGGTCGGGATCGAACCCACGACCTCCTGCATACCAGGCGAGGTAGACATGCACAAATTGTTATTTTGTTATTCTCACCAAACCGCGTCTTCTTGCTTCTCCTTCTGACCCGACCCAACCCAGGACCCTGTGCTCTTTTCAGGGCCTCTGCGCATGAACCTGGACCCGTTTGGGCACCACAGTGACGAGAAGCTGTGGAGCGCCCTGGAGATGGCTCACCTGAAGGCTCACGTGGAGTCCTTGGAAGCAGGCCTTGATCACCCCATCTCTGAGGGAGGGGAGAATCTCAGGTAGGTTGTTTTTGCGTGCTTTTTTTGGAATCTCGCGAAAGCGAAAATTCATTCAGCGTGTACATGTAACCATTTCATGTGAAGGGCAATGCGTAGAGTATATTGTATGTCAATAAGCACGACAGAGGGAGATGTCTTAAAATCTAAATGGTAAAACAGACAGGCTTTCGGTGGAAACCTAAACCACATATTATCATGGCAAGGGAAAGGCTGCTCAACCAATGCAATCGGCGAAAGAGAAGGAATCATATGTTGGATGATAGTATCAATCTTCATATGACTGATGTCGATGTAGAGCAACAATTGTAATATAACATTGAGGTTGGTTCATGAGCCAGTCAATTGCACCAGGAGTCGCGGAGAGAATCGCTTTGATACCTCCTTATATAGGAATGAAGCGTCGAGTTGTCAAATGTGCCTCTGTCTGTTCTGCGTGACCAGTCGCCGCACACTGCTGCAGGTTTTTTTTCATTTTGCATTTTTACGAGTAACTGCGCTTGCTACACCGGTGTATCAGTGCACTGGCATCGATTCGACAAATGCACATCCCTCCTCGTGTTGTCGAGCGTACACCGCGGTAGGGGTTGCACCTCCGTTGGGTGATCGGCAGACACGTCGTTGCTACTTCCCCCGTGCGCTCTCCCGCAGCGTTGGGCAGAGGCAGCTCGTGTGCCTGGCGCGCGCGCTGCTCCGCAAGAGCCGCATCCTCATCCTGGACGAGGCCACGGCGGCCGTGGACCTGGAGACGGACGACCTCATCCAAGCGACGATCCGCCGCGAGTGCCAGCACCGCACCGTGCTCACCATCGCGCACCGCCTCAACACCGTCATCGACTACACGCGGTGAGGCCACGTGCAGCCGGCGACCTCTTGGGTCTCGCCAGACCATGGGCCCTCGAGAGCGGGAGGGGCCCTTGCATGCCGTGCAAGGGACGGGGGACGATCATCGCATCAAGGGGGCGGCATTAGCTGGCCAATATCCTGGGTAATGCTATTACTCAGGGGCCAAAAGCCAGACCAGACATTGTCTTATGTATGGAAGCTTTTTTGCCAGTATTAAGATGCTATAAAAGAAGAAAACTCAACACATGTCATAATAACAATGTTTGTCCAGGTTGCTTCATTCCTACAACCTAGACAGTCGTCAGTTTGCACACCACCCAAGTTTGGCCCAGTTAAGGTGGCAATCCTAATCATCGCTGGTGCATCTTCTTTGGTTCTTTCGGTAAAGTCACGTAGAATGAGAATAAAATAATAAATTGATAAAATAAAATAACACAATAATATTCTCACGACGTTTCGGCCACAACACAAGCGGCCTTCATCAGGTTTTTTTGTATCATGTGCATTTGATCTCCATCTCAATGTCCTCTTCCTGTATTGCTTTCTCACAGAGGCCTTCATATAGAGTACTGTACATGATACATGACAGTCTGAGAATGCCTACATATTGTCAATCGTGTAATGTTTTGAAAAATAATGCATTACTACTTCTTCCTCACTGCTGCTTGCCTTTGGCACGGTTTTTCCCTTTGATACCAAACCTTTTGCTGATGTTTAAATATTGTTCCACGGGGAGGTCTTCATCCAGCAGTGGATTGGCAATTGGCTTAAATTGGATGCTATTCCCACCTTTGCAGGTAGCACCATTAACAGTCGCTTTTTTCGCAAGAACGCGTGGCTAATGGCCACTTTTGCTGGCAATTCACACAAGACGCTACAACCCTCGAGATTGTCGACTGGCCAGGAATGACTGGTGGCCATTTGTTACTGGCGCAGGTGCTGATGTGCGCATGGCCAGGGGCAATATGTGGGGCTCGTTTGTGACGAAACATAAAGGTCGACTGGCGCCGCCATTGTAATCATTTCACTCTGTGTGTCGCTTTCAGAGTCATGGTGCTCGACGGCGGATGTCTCGCCGAGTTTGATTCGCCGGCTGCGCTCCTGAAGAAGAGGGGCATCTTCTATACGATGGCGAAGGATGCTGGGCTGGCCGAAGAAAAGGCCACGCATCTGTGAAATAATGTTTTGAACATTTTCAGATGAAAGTTAGTTAATTCCCAAAAAAAAGTACATGCCGTATTAACATTCGCATTCGTTTGTTGTAAGCTTCAGTTTTATTTTTTATCACTTTCGGGATACAAACAAGAACAACCTTTTGTCTACAAACAGAAGTCTGCGTGGATTGATAGCGGAATAGAGGCTGTGTACACGAGCCAGTTGATAAGGGTTTTACTAGCACGGAACAATTATTACTCGGCAAAGGTCGAGTTTGCATGAGAAAAAAAACGATCACGCACGTGCGGTTAAGGAGAGGTCACGTGATCCTCGGGGTCTGTTCAGGTGCGTTCATAAGGTGTTCCACAGTGTGTGGTTTTCGTTTATTTTGAGTACAAGGTTTTTAAAATATTCTCATTGATAAACCCCTTTCAGGTTTTTTTGTTCTTACATAATTTTCGCAGTTTTTATTTTATTTTAAGACCAAGTTTTTGTACAATAGTTCATTGCAACATTGCAGTAAAATAGTGCAAGGCTCTAGTTTATGCATCTCCCCATAGGTTATCATTCAAGATTGTCGGGCATTTATCAAAATGACTCATGACTTCAATATGATATTGCATTCTACCTGTTTGAGAGTACATTTTACTCACGTAAGTATCAAACGAGGCGTATAAATTAACATCCCACCTCCACCAGACATGCAGAATATCATCAAAGAATGCCATCTTCCATGAAGAGGATGGTACAGGCTGTGACATTATTTGCTATATTTAGACAATAGCGAGCCTTATCAATGCCTTAATGCCAAGATTATAAACTCTCTGGAACAACGGAATTGGGTGATTGACCATTCTATGGTCGCAGGTCTCTCTCCGAGAATAAATTGCTCCACAATAGATGTATGTTCTGCAATCATAACTTTTGAAGCACTTACAAACTAGTTTCAAAAATGTTTTTCATCATACATTCCAAATGGTGAAGTATACCTTTAACACATTTACTCTGCACGTGCACACACCCAATGAAAAGTGTAAATGAGATTAGGTGGCTGGGAGAGAGAGGAATTCTTACTGGGCTGTCACCATTGGGATCTGGGTTCACATCCAGATTTCAACTGCCTGTGATTACACTGCGTTTTCAAGTGAAGTGAAACTGTAAACTATTTTCATTTTACCAGGTAAGGCCCACTGAGCTATCCAACTTTTTTTTTAGAAGCGACCAGGCCACAAATGATAACTCAACGAAGTGGCTTATCACGTGGAAATGTATCGCAGCCCAGACGCACGTTTTTAAATGTGGACGTAAAAACTGGAGGACCCAGAGAACAATCCATACGACCACGGGAAGAGAGAGACGCAAACTCCAAATATACAGGCTTCGGGGTCTGGATCAAACCCACAACCTCCTGGGTGAGTTTATGGTCTCAGCCCAGTCACTATTCCCCACACCTCCAATTAGCACGGTTGGCTACAAACGATGCGAAAGTTCAACACATATAATACATTGACTGCACAATGAGCTATGCTCGTTCATCTGCATTGGTGGCACTGAGACAATTGTGAAAATTCGACATTCCCATGGTGTTGGACGAGCCTCATCAAGTAAAAATGACCGTTCATAACTGATATTTTAAAAGTTTGTTCCATTCTTGACAGCTGGTTATAGAAAGGGTTAATTTTAATGGAAATTAAAATGACACCAAGGGGAAATGACCAGCTGTGTATCGACTGTCATTATAATTCTGACATAAAACCAGAATAAATTTGCATTTTCATCAATGTCTTGTCATTGTGGGGGCTAGCGTCCCCCGCCATCACTGAATTGTCGGGGCCATTGCCCACCGACTCCCCCGTTCCATTCATACCGCTACCCCCCGGCTGCTCTGTCAGGTCCAGACTACCGACCCCTAATGTTTCGCCCCCCTATACCTCTGCCTGGGATGTCGACCGCGTTTGCATAGCTTAACTAGCGGCTCGTACGCTTTGCGCTTGCGATGCGCTACGCTGTTCAACGGCGGCGTGCCGCGGTGAGCGCGCTCGCAAAGTAAAACCCCGTCCTGCACGTGAATAAACAGGCGCGGCGCGCCGCCGTGGGATTCCTTCCCACCCACGCTCCACGCACGCAAGCGAAAACAAACACGCCGCAATCACTTCGCGCCGATTTAAAGGGGCCGTTTACACAGCCGCGCGAAAACGCGCACGCCAGGCGCTTAGTTCGCTACTTCGCTAGAGACAACCGCGCAGGCACACGACCGCAACCCCGTCTCACAGGCGCGCGAGCGCTGAACAATACTGTAAACAATCGTACAGGTACGCGGACACCAAGCACGCTCTACTCCCTTATTCGCCGCAAACAGCCGCGTATGCGCGCGAACACAAAACACTCTCCACCCTCGTCCTCCAAAGGACCACACGAAACAGTTTATTCCCCTACCAGTTATTTTATTTACCGCGAGCAACCAGTTAAGCTACGCGTAATTGTGTGGGTCAGTGGATGTCAGCCTATTCCCCTTGGGATCTTAGACTGTATTTCCTCGGCCTATCGCTCTGCTTTCTACCCTCGATCAAATAGCCCAAACTTACCTCTCTCTCTTACTCACGCGTACTTCCACTCTGCTGTGCGGGAAGCTGTAGAACAGCGATCCGTAGAGGCTTGAGCCTGGCTGGGCTGAAGTTCGTCACGCGGACGTCTTGAACGGCTGACTCCCCTCCTGCGTGGACCGCGATGATTTTTGAAGAAGATCCCCTAATACTGCCTCGATCACCTCCTTTTATCCTACCTATCACAAAGGCATTCCGCGGCGCCCCCATGTTCCGCACCCATGTCCTTTGATGTGCGGATCCTAGTGCTGGTGATGTCACCGCAGTGGTTTCTGGCTACCAGTCCACTGACCCGTGCTTGTGTGTGTGTTTGGTTCCAACCGCGGTGGTCCGACGGCTGCTGCCGTGACCATGCGACTTTAATATTAGGTCACGGCGCGGTGGTGCATGTCAGCTACGGGGGGAAGATCGCCCAATTTCCCGGCCGCAGGAAACCATGAAGTTCGATCCCATTAGGGACTTCTGGAAAAAAACCTATCGGCCGGGTGACCTCCCCTCCCGGCTCTACGTGGGGCGTGTGTGCGTTCGTGCGGGGGGGGGGGGAAGGGGGGGGGCAGCGAGGGTGCGCAGCGTCGGCATCCCCCGGTGGCGGCTTCACGGCGGTGGGCACGGCCTCGGCAGAGCGGCTCTGCTGCGGCGGCCTCACGACTGTGCAATGGGCAAAACGCGAACGTCTGAGAAGGCACCGGCCCCGGGAGAGTGGCGGGAAATCCGAGGCATCGGTGACGGCGTCGCGGCGGTGGGCACGGCTCTGCTGGAGCGGCTCCGTTGGAGCGGCACCACATCATCATTGTCAATACATCTGCTAAGTTAGTTTAATTGAAACAAATGTTCCACTTGTGAAATGTTACAAGCACTGTACGTACATTGGCTAGGAGGCACGAAATCATCGTTATGCTCACAATACGTGCGTTCAATGAGCGTGAGAATGGATCATTTTATTGTACGTGTGGTGGTTCGCTTAGTTAAACTTCGCAGCCACTCGAGGTTCTAAATACACCACCGTGGCAAACAAGGCTCGTTCATTCTTGAGACATATCACAACCGAAATCGTGGCAATTTATCATATGGCCAGGGGGGGGGGGGGGAAATGTTTACTTACCCATTGGCTAGTGAGCTTCATCACCAGCTTAAGCTCTAAAGAGGTTCATAATAAAGGTTTTTTGGGTTAGATCGCGTTATTTATAAATGTGTCGTAACCCTCCACCACCCGACACGGCCAATCAGCAAAAAAGTGTCACGTTGACAAAAGACAAATAATTCACTACTTTAGCCCACCGGTATGTTGAAGAGTGAATCCACTACATTTACAGTTTGAGTAGGACGTTTCGCTGGTAATTACATCCAGCATCATCGGGCAATTCGCCAGAATGGTAAAGCCCTCACTTGCTCCCGGTCTTAAATAGAGCAGCAGGGTGATGTCATCATTTAACTCATTTCAGGTGCAATAATTTGAGGCGGAGGGGGGGGGGCATTGTAATTATGTAATCGATTGGTAATCAGTCAATGGTTATGATTAGTAATGAGTTGTAGATTAGTAATTAGTTGTAATGTGTGTTAGTGATTATATGCTACGTTAATAATCCGTTAATTAGTATGTGTTTCCCCTATAAGGAATTGTAATATGTATTATTTAATAATACGCTTCCAAGCCGCACTAAGCCTGTAGCTGTCAGAGCGATTAAAGTTATTTCTATTCCTCTCATTTTCAATGGATTCTCTAATTAGTCTTTGCCAGTAATAATTAGTTTTGCACAACACTTCAACGTTATCAAAATCAATTGAGTATCCTTGTTGACAAGCATGTTCTGCCACTGCCGACAGTTGTGTTTGAGATAATTTCATATTTCTTTGATGTTCTTGTAGTCTTATGCTGATGTTACGTCCCGTCTGTCCAATATAGTATCTGCCACGTAAACAATTAATCCGATATACACCTTCTGTTGATAATTTAGGTAATGCGTCTTTAGTGCAAGATACTAGTTTTTGAATTTTGTGTACTGTACTAAATCTTCCTGTAACGTTTTGCTTTTGCAAAACACGGGCTAATTTGTCAGTTACTCCTGAGATATATGGAATTTTTATTGTTTTAACAATCTGATCGCTTTCAGCAGTATTGCTTTGCGATCGTGATTTGGCATTCAGTGCTCTGTTAATTTGAGCATTATTGTAGCCATTCTGTCGTAGTGCTTCTTTAACGTGTTTGATCTCTCTCACTAGACTTTCACCATCTGACACTGTTTTAGCCCGATGTATGAGCGTATTGATAAGAGAGGATTTCTGAGCTGGATGATGATGCGAATCTGCATTCAGATAGGCATCAGTGTGCGTTTGCTTTCTGTAAACGCTGTGTGTTATTTTACCGTTTAGGCCATGTCCAAGCAAAATATCTAGGAACGGGAGTGTGTTATTCACCTCCATTTCCATGGTGAACTGGATGGTCGGGTTTTGTGCATTGAGATGATTTAGAAAATCATTAAGTGTATCTTTACCATGTGGCCAGACAACCAAAGTGTCATCCACATATCTAAACCAAAAATATGGTTTTAATGTGCTCGAGGCAAGTGCTCTTATTTCAAAGTTTTCCATGTACAAATTTGCTATAGCAGGGGATAAAGGAGAGCCCATTGCTGTTCCTTCCTTTTGTTTAAAGAAATCCCCTCTCCATAAGAAGTAAGTGTTATTTAAACAATGGTCAGCAAGTTTGGGAATATCTTTTGGTAAACCTGTATTCTTTACTAGTGTATCAAGTAATTTAAGCGATTCGTTCACTGGAACCTTAGTGAATAGAGAAATCACATCAAAACTTATCAGATATCATTAGGATTAAGTTTAATATCTGTAATCACATTCACAAGATGTTCTGAATTTCTTATGAATGAAGATGTCCTACCGATGTAGGGCTGTATTTGTTTAGTTATATATTTTGCTCATTTATATGTGGCACAGCCAATTGTACTGACTATGGGTCGTAATGGGATGCCGATTTTATGAATCTTTGGTAGCCCATACAGTCTAGGTGGTTTTGAGGCCCTTGGGTTAATTTGGTATTGCTCATTCTTATGGATTAATGAATTTGCAATTATTGCAGTAGTCTTATGTTCTAAAGTATTAGTTGGATCTCGTTTAATTTTAATGTAGGTACTTTCCTCTAGTAAATTTCTAATTTTATTATCATAATCGACTCGTGACATCACTACAGTAGTGCGGCCTTTATCAGCTGCCAGGATCTGGATATCCTTATTTACACGCAGCTCTCTTAAGGCTTTTGCCTCGTCAGAGCTAATATTTACTTTTGGAACTTTGCTATTCTCAATTATTTTGGCAACCTCATGTCTAGTCATCTTTGCCTCATTATGTGGAAGGAGTCTTACTGCTGATTCTACCTCAGCAATTATCTCATCCACTGGAATTGTGCGTGGGGTAACGGCAAAGTTAAGGCCTTTATAAAGGACAGAGATCATGTCACTGGTTAAAACAGTGTTAGTCAAGTTCATTACGGTTTTGTTTTAAAATTGTTCGTTTTTAGTAGGGATTTGTTTATTATGAAGTCTAGAAAATTTATTAATTTCGTTAGTTTTTGTTAGATTAAACACATTATCAGCCGATTGTTGTGTTATGGTATTGATTATATTCCAATAATGCATAGATACACTATTGCTTATATCTAAGTGTAACTGCTTTAGCGATTCCGAAATGTAAGATAATTCACTCCTGTTGTGCTGTATTCTCTCTATTAATAATAATTCGCTAGCTTTGTGTAGTATTTGGTTAGCTTTAGAAGACTTTATGTGATGTGTTATTTTAACTGCGTTTGGTATTACCTTTGAATCTCTGCACCTTTTGAGGAACGCCAGTGAAGATATCAATTTCATCCGCGTAATGCGGAGCTTCTCCAACTTTCTGGTTTTAAAAAAAGTATCCTCCCCATAGAGGTTAGTCAGTTTAACACGTAGGCTTTCGCGACCAATATTATTCATAATACAGGTTTTTGGGTTATCAACAGAAGGTGTATATCGGATTAATTGTTTATGTGGCAGATGCTATATTGGACAGACGGGACGTAACATCAGCATAAGACTAAAAGAACATCAAAGAAATATTAAATTATCTCAAACACAACTGTCGGCAGTGGCAGAACATGCTTGTCAACAAGGACACTCAATTGATTTTCATAA